TTGTTGAAGAGGCTGCTATTTCTCCATCGTATATTTTTAGCTCCTTTGTCAAAGATAAGTTGCTCATAGTTGTGTGGCTTCATATCTGGATCCTCTATTCTGTTCCACTGGTCTTCATGTCTGTTTTTGTGCCAGTACCATGCTGTTTTTATTGTTATTGCTTTGTAATATAGTTTGAAGTCAGGTATTGTGATACCTCCTGCATTGTTCTTTTGACTGAGTATTGCCTTGGCTATTCGTGGCCTCTTGTGTTTCCATATAAATTTCACAGTAGATTTTTCAATCTCTTTAATGAATGTCATTGGAATTTTGATGGGAATTGCATTAAACATGTAGATTACTTTGGGGAGTATCGACATTTTTACTATGTTGATTCTACCAATCCATGAGCATGGGAGATCTCTCCACTTTCTATAGTCTTCCTCAATCTCTTTCTTCAGAAGTGTATAGTTTTCCTTGTAGAGGTCTTTCACATCTTTTGTTAGGTTTACACCTAGGTATTTGATTTTTTTAGCAACAAATTGTTGGATCTTCTTTTTTAATCCATTTTGTCAAACAGCTTCTTTTGATGGGTGAATTAAGTCCATTAACATTAAGTGTTAGTACTGATAGGTATGTGGTGATTCCTGCCATTTAGTTTTCTTAGTTATTTGAAGGTTTGATTGTGTGTACCTAACTTGATGTTACTCTCTACTGTCTTGCTTTTTCTTATCCTGTGGTTTGATGCTGCCTGCCTTTTCATGGTTAAGTTGGGTGTCACTTTCTGTGTGCAGGATCCCTTGCAGAATCTTTTGTAATGGTGGCTTTGTGGTCACATATTGTTTTAGTTTCTGCTTATCATGGAAGACTTTTATTGCTCCATCTATTTTGAATGATAGCTTTGCTGGGTAGAGTATCCTGGGGTTGAAGTTATTTTCATTCAGTGCCCGGAAGATCTCACCCCACGCTCTTCTTGCAGTAGATTTTTCAATCTCTTTAATGAATGTCATTGGAATTTTGATGGGAATTGCATTAAACATGTAGATTACTTTGGGGAGTATCGACATTTTTACTATGTTGATTCTACCAATCCATGAGCATGGGAGATCTCTCCACTTTCTATAGTCTTCCTCAATCTCTTTCTTCAGAAGTGTATAGTTTTCCTTGTAGAGGTCTTTCACATCTTTTGTTAGGTTTACACCTAGGTATTTGATTTTTTTTGAGGCTATTGTAAATGGAATTGTTTTCATACATTCTTTTTCCGTTTGCTCATTGTTCCACTGTGCCCTCTCTGACATGATGTCCTGCCTCACCACAAAGATGGACTGAAACCCTGAAACTGAGACAAGATAAATCTTGGGGCGGGGGGGCGGGGAGGAGATTCTAGCAAATTGAAGAAACAAACTAATGTTTGAAACATTAGTTTGAAAATTAAAAGAATGATTCTGGTGTGCATCAATATTTTAACAAGATTCTTTTGAATTCCCTCTTTTGACTTCGGTGATGTGTATGTCCACACACCCGCCCATTGCAGAGAGCTTCTGAACCAGTGTCTGGGCACTGGGCCTCATGCTTCATGCTGAGAATGAAGCAGCTTCCTGACATAGAAGGCTCATAATCTAGGGCAAAAAAAAAAAAAAAATTCCCAGTGCGTTTACGTTTTCCATACCCAGTCCACAGGATACACCCATTCCATTTTTCAAATCTGACGACTGCATGCATGAGCTCTGAGGATGGAACCCAGGGCCTTGTACATGTGAGGCAAGTGCTCCATCACTTAGCTGTATTCCCAGATACAATTTTTTTTCTGCAGTGCCAGCTGGGGCCTCCTTGCTAGGCAGGTTCTCTATCATTTGAGCCATACCCCCAGCCCTTTTTTTGGACCTCAGTCCTCTTACCTATGCCTCCTGCATAGCTGGGACCATGAGAAGAAACCACCACGCTGGCTTATTTGTTGAGATGGGACCTCACTTTTTGACCAGGCTAGCCTCAAACTGCCATCCTCCCAACCTCTACCTCTTGAGTAGCTGGGATTCCAAGTATGAGCCACCATACTCAACTGTATCGAAAGTTATACAGGTAGGTTAAGATATGCTTTTCTTCTACGTATGTAGTCTGCATTCATTGTCTCTATTCACTCGCCTCCCACTGGCTCATAAAGCCACCGAAATCTTACTTCTGCCCGTTTCCTAATACGTAAATCACCCTTGCCAAATCACAATGACAGGGACAATTCCTACTCTTTTAACTGACCTCGTGACCTCTAGACAGCATTTGACGAAGTTTAATAACTTTCTTCCTCACTTTAGTCTCTCTCTTTGGCTTGTCAACAATGTCCTCTCTCCCTTCTCTCCTCCTCTCTTTGGGCCTGCCTAGATTTTAGGGTTACATCTTATAGCTGCTATCTCATGCTGCATTCTCCACTTTGAACTAGTAGCTTCCAGATTCCCCCCGAGGTCTCCTCCCATTCCCCATGCTCCAATTTTTATCAACTCTCTCTTCTTGGGTATGCCATGACACTCTATGCAATGCACCCCGAACACACATACCTCTTTCCTCCCATTCCCTGCCTAGGTGACTGCTGCCCCACCCCAGCCCAGATCCCCTTGGGAGAAATCGCTGACTTCCCTAGCTCATACCTGGGCCCTCCCAACATTCAACCTGACTTGCCATCACGCTTGCTTTTTTTTTGTGGGATTGGGATTTGAACTCAGGGCCTTAAACTTGCTTGGCAGGCGCTCTACCACTTGTGCTATGTCCCACCCCTTATCACTCTTGCGTAACCAAAGTTTCAAATGGTCTTAATGAAATTGAGGGAATTGCTCCAATTTTGGAGTAATGCAGCTAAGCAGTACAGTCCCATCCACTTTGCACAGACAGCACCTCTGACAGTGTGAGTTCATTGTGGTTACATGAAAAATTCCTTTGTAGAGATTGCACACATGGAGTAGTTAATGGAAACGGGGCATTTGATAAGTCTTACTCGCAAAGTGAGGAAAAGGTCTCTGCAACTGTACGTGTAACTTTTCTGTATGGTTGAGATTGTTTCAAAATAAAAAGAGCAGCAAGAAAAGCCTCGAGAAAGAATGATGAAGCAGTTAGCTCCACCATGTAGTCTCAATCTCCACTCCGACCGGCTTTGATGCCTGGACAGGTAGTAATGCTACAAGAAAACACAGAACTATGTAAAACAGCAAATCACTAACAAGAAGATAAGCTTCTTAACAAAAGATTCAATCAACCAAATAGCTGTCTGGGAAAAAGAAAATTTACATCCCTACCTCTTCCTATACACCAGAATAAACTGCACGCAGATCAGACAATTGCATATAAGAAAGATTAAATCCTCTAACTACTAGAACACAGGTGATTGTCCAAATTTTCCCTACTCATAAGCAAGTAACCTTAAATATCTGAAAAAATGCTTATCCATCAATACAGTGCCTAAAAATACTCTCTTGCCTCCTTCACTTCCCCCTCTCTCTCTCCATCCCTGAGCTATTTGGGTAAAATGGCATTTTGAATGTTTTAATATATTCCAACAAAAATGGGGTGCTTCAGTGAACTACAATTAACAAAATGCCATTAGTAACAGACTCTGGGTGGATACATGAAGACTCAGTACCTTATACTTTTGAACATTTGAATATTTACATTAAAAACTGTTTAAAAACAGAGAACAACTGGAATCATTTAATAAAATCCACAACACAATGAAGTACTAGGCAGACATAAACAAGGGACAGACACATTCTAGTAATCTCCAAAATTTATTGCTAAGTATAAAAACCAAGGTATAGGACAGTGTATATATCTTTTGCTTAAGAAACAAAAATTATGGCGAGTGCTGGTGTCTCATGCCTATAATCCTAGTCACTTGGGAGATAGACTGGCAGGATCACAGTTCGAGGCTAGTCCAGGCAAATAGTGCACAAGACCCCCATCTCCAAAATAACCACAGCAGAATGGACTGGAGGTATGGTTCAAACAATAGAGTGCCTGTTTTTCAAGTATGAAGCCCTGAATTCAAACCCCAGTCCCAACCACCCAACACCCAAAGGGGAAATAAATACATGTGGTCTAACTGCACACATGTGTTTGCAAAAAAAATATGGAAGGCTAAACTGGAACGTAGTAAAATGACTTCTAGCAGTGGGGGTGATGGAAAAGTGGAAAGCAAAAACTTCTGCATGTCTTTTTATGTAAGTTTGGATTTTGAACTGTGCAACTGTTTTACGTACTTAAAATGCATTAAATCTAAAAGAATGAACAAATCCTAAAATTGAAAACAAAATAGCTAAGTTGCAAACAAAAAATTAATAATGTGAACAATTATTTCAAGTGAGTTTTCACCTAGGACTCTAGGATTTTAGGGAAGTCTGTAAATAAATTCCCTTTTATTGTACTATAATATTAGTAACACCAATTCTCATTTTAATGCCACAACTTGTACACTGCAGAACAAACTGAAAATGTCAATACCTCATGCTATGAAAAAACCAAGATTTTCAGTATGAAGAAGAGACACACAGAGAGCAATATACTATGTGATAAGGATAATTTGAATTAATATTGTATGAGCTTATGATTTTTATTAGTGTAAACTAATTGTACACAGGGGTTCCTTTGTTGAACCTATTATTTTAAACATGCATTTCCTACAGTGTCACTGAAAGCCTAGAAGCATTGGCATCCCAGTACCAAGGAGCACTCCTAGTCCCTGACTTGGTTTCACACATCTCTCCCTGCTGGAAGTAACAAAGGTTCTTTCAAGAAACGGCTGCTTCCAAAACCGGGTGGGATGAGTATAAAGTACAGCATCCCCAGCAGCAGAACGAGTGTATCATGCCCTCCTGAAGTAGTTCAATATGAAGTGCAGTGTCTTCTCCAAATGCTCACTCTGGAAGCCACTTCGTGCCTACTGGACAGCAGGGAGCAGCAGAGGAACAAGGTGAGCTGTGTCATGAGGAAGTGGGTAAGTCCACAATGGTCTGGTGCAGTCAATGCAGAGGGGCGGGGGCAGGTGCTCCCAACACAGAGACACATGAGCCTCATGGGCTCAGGGCCAATGGCCATTTGGGGCCACAGTGGGACTGTGCTTGTGTTGATGGCTTCGTCACTCAGGATGGAAACAAACCTCAAGCCTCAGTAACCTGAAACAAAGGCACACTCCTTTACTCTCGCAGGTACAGCAATGTTTCAGAAGGGTTTCCTTATCTGCTGCTCTTTCAAGACTAACCCTGCATTCCTTTAATGACAGAGGTTTAGTGGTCATACTGAGTAGCTTAGGGCACTATTTATCAAAATGTGGTTTCCCAAATCACAATCTCCAAAACCAACTCAGAAACTCAAGACCAGGGCTGTAGGTTCCACGCCAGCTTCCAAGGGCTACTTTCAGTTATGCATCTCATGATTTGATATAACCTGCTGTGCAAAACATTTCACCTTCCTGGAAATAACCAGTGGTAGTAACACTGCTGACTGAAGTGGCAGACAGTAAATACAGGGTGTGTGCACTCTTTTTTGAGATAATTATTCTAGAGTCCAGGCTATCTCTTTCTTCTAGATAGAAGTTCCAAAACCTTAGTATTTATGAATACATAAATATATGTGTAAATTATGCGTATTATGTATCATTAATCAGGTTATGTTAGTGTCCCTTGGACTTTTATGTAAAAAATCAAATGAAAACAATTAAAATGTGACCAATGAAAATGACTGTCACTACTAAAGCTGCTGCTCTTCTGCTCTCAGCTGGCGGAGTGGCTCCAGTGGTAGGGCACCTTTCTAGCAACTGAGAGGTCCTGAGTTCAAACCCCAGTACCACCCAAAAAAAGCCACCTCTCTTCTGTATAGTTACATAGGTGGCCAGTATTGATTTACTCCAACTTAGAATACCAACTGGAATTTTTCAAAATTCTAAAGTTGACCTGCAAAAAATATTTTCATGCTGGAGGTGTGGCTCAAGTAGTAGGGCACCTGCTAGAAGTTGTGAAGCCCTGGGTTCAAACTTCAGAATTGGGAAAAAAAAAAATCATGGAAGGTTAGTCTGACACCACATCTCTACTCGGCCTCCATACCACTGAATGGAAATTTTTTTGTTTTTACAGAATTCCCTTCATCATTTTTACTCAAGATTCCCCACTCTGCCTCTCGCACAACTGACCTGTGCAAATTTTCCCTCTCCCCAGCAAAGTTACCTTTTTCTTGGCCAGTCATCTTCCGCTCAATGCCTGTGCTCCCTGGATCCAGCCTTCTACCAAAAGGTGGGCGATGGCAACCTGGTGCTGACTGTGACACATAGTGACAGGCACAAAGGGAGAGTTAATCACACCATTAGCTTTAGCTCTGTCTGCTGAGTCTTGTAGCCACTATTCCTATGTTAACTGTTACTTTTGTATATAGCAGCAATCTTTCTGGAAATGAAATTCTGAAAACGTATACTGTTACCTTAAGGTTATGAATAGCATTATTTGCCTAGAGGAAGAAAAACACCAATCACAACTCCATCCCCAAAGAAAAACATTCCAAGAAAAACATGAACATTTAATTATCTTTAAATAATACATGAATGATTTACATGCTATAATTCCAAAAACACAAGGAACATAAATCCAATTTTATAAGAGATACAGACAATCTGCTTTTTGCCAGCATGAACCGCGTAGGGTCCCTTGGGATGCCATCTGGCTTTTCAGTCCAAGTTTGAGCACGCAGACACATACACCTGTCTGAAGTTGAAGGTTAAGACAAGAAATCAAAGAGGTGACTCTAAGAACTCTGACACGCAGATTCTGAAACCACAATCTGACCAGAAACAAGGCACGGCAAAGTTCCCTTTGTGGTTAAGAAGATTAAGTTTCCTTCCCCAGTGCGTAACTTTGGAGATATGAGTGGTTAATCATATACTATATTTTACACTCATTTCTGTTACTTTTAAAAAGCAGCATTATCAATAACATATTACAGAAATGAATTGGAAAAACAAACAAGATTAGTTAGATAAGCTCACTTGTAATAGAGCTTTTGGTCACTTGAAAAAGATGTCTATGTTCAGAACTAATCTAGTAGATAAAGGTGTGATAGTGAGACCATGAGGGATCCTATGCAGACTCCCCAGTACCCTTGAATTGTCCCTTGTGTTACCATGTCACTTAACTTTCAATTTTAAAGCTAGATGGGTAACACTGTTAACTGCAGTTGATTTTTTGTTTGTTGATTTAAAAATATGTACTAGTACATAGAGTAGCCACAAGGCAAAATGAAACCCTTCCCAGAGTTTAAGTCACTTTTGTTAAACATTAACTAGGCTCTCCTTAGTTTTCCTTTCTTTTCCCATTTATCAGAAGAAAACAATGTTCCACAAAACACAACAGTTTTAAAATTTATGCAACAGAGCAAAATCTAAACTATCTGTACTTCCCTTTTTACTTAACCCAAAAGTTCATGGGTACACTGAAAGTTAAATATTCTAGGAATAGCAACTCATTGGGAGATAAAGCTGTATATATTGTTTCCAAGGACAGCTTTAGAGTTTTAGCTCTATAAACTTACACAGTTATCAAAGGATTAAAGCCAACCACAAAATATCAAGAGTGTGGCAATCTGTGTATAAAAGACAGTCAAACGTGCTTATAATCTAAGTTGTAAAGAAACCATCAAATGCAGCACTAAACAAATTACAACCAGAATAAAACCTTCAGTTTCACTAACTGAATGTGGAAATGGGGTTGGCTAGCCGTGAATTCAACAGTACTTCTGCAAATGTTTATGCAGGAGCACTGCAGCATGCAACCACTGAAGCAATGATAGTGACATTCTTTACAAACAAAACAAGATGGGCCAAAAGAAAAAAAACAAACATCTTGTTCTAGGCTAAAAAAGTTAAGGGTAAAGAAACAATTTTAAGGCTCCCTAGGAAATATTTTTCATGGCACTTCAATATTAAACATCACTAAAATGCAAACATGTAAATATTCAGTTACACCGTTACATAATTGAAATACATGCCATGTCAATTATTACAGGATCTTTTTGTCAAGTGTTAACTTTCTCAAAGTTAAATTACACTTAAGGAAAGCATGTTTGGCTGTTAATTAACATGTAAATCACACAGGAATGCCAATTCACTAGTATACTGTGCAAACTGTGTTGTGAGCAAATCTGCCAAATGCCACTCATTTTTTACAGAACCGAATGCCAGTCCTTGCTAGACGCAATCAAGCTGACTTATTTCTCTCACAAGAGCAGTTATATCCTTTCTTCAATCATGCACCTATTGTTAAAACCCCGAGGTCAGTATTAGACAAATCCCTTTGGCCATTCGCACAGACCATCCTCATAGTTCTCCATTTCTTGCCCTCCAGTCCATTCAGAAAATACTCAGAGCCTAGCAAGTCATTTTTGCCACACCATACTCTAAGCTGACCACAGCGGGCTCTGACTTAGAAAACCTCCTCTGCGTAGTCCTGGTATCGGTTGTCTGCTGGGTTGCTGCCCTCTATTGTTCGGAGTGCATCATTCACGGGTAGCAGAGTCTGCTCTTTCAGACACAGGGTGGTTTTGAGGGGAGGTGATTCAGGATGAACTGAATCTAACAATTCCTTGGTGAGGATGCCATCTGTTTGCTTATTTTTGCATTGCTTAATTTTCTAAAAAAAATAAAAATTTGAAATAACATTACTAACTACAGTCACTACATGGTCAATATATGTTAGGTGAAATAAAACATGCGTTTGCAAATTGTTCTCCTTACATATGTTGCAAAATTAATTCTCAAAAGCTAGCTAGTGCATGATTGAAAATCCTCATTGTTTGTAAGTTTTGCAGTGGAAAATGCTTGGCAGTTTTTATATTTATCAATCAATCAATCCAGTTAGACTCAATTACAAAACATCATTCAGCCTTTATATGTGGAAAGGGCATATTTTACCTAGAAAGTCTAACAAGTAGGCCAGGCACCAGTGGCCTACTAGTGTAATCCTACCTACTTTTAAGGGGAGACTGGGAGGACTGTAGTTCAAGACCAGATCAGGCAAAAAGTTTGTAAGATCCCTTATCAATCAAAAAAAGTTGGGTACGTGGCACACACTTACCATCCCAGCTACCTGGAAAACATAAATAGGATGGTGGTCCAGGCCAGTCAGGACATAAAGTGAGACCCTATCTCAAAAATAACCAAAGCAAAAAAGAGCTGGGTATGGCTCACATGCTAGAGCACCTGCCTAGCAAGCAAAAAACCCTGAGTTCAAACCCCCAGTACGGCCCCCCAAAAAAGTCTGACAAACATTTTATAAGGAAAGAAATGTATATGAGATGTGTATCACCCTATACCAACATTAACTCAAAATGGATCAAGGATCTTAATATCAGACCCCAAACTCTAAAGTTGATACAGGAAAGAGTAGAAAATACTCTGGAGTTAGTAGGTATAGGTAAGAACTTTCTCAATGGAACCACAGCAGCACAACAACTAAGAGATAGCATAGATAAATGGGACTCATAAAACTAAAAAGCTTCTGCTCATCAAAAGAAATGGTCTCTAAACTGAAGAGAACACCCACAGAGTGGCAGAAAATATTTGCCAACTATACATCAGACAAAGGACTGATAACCAGAATATATAGAGAACTTAAAACACTAAATTCTCCTAAAACTAATGAACCAATAAAGAAATGGGCAAGTGAACCAACAGAACTTTCTCAAAAGAAGAAATTCAAATGGCCAAAAAACACATGAAAAAATGCTCACCATCTCTAGCAATAAAGGAAATGCAAATTAAAACCACGCTAAGATTCCACCTCACCCCTGTTAGAATAGCCATCATCAGCAACACCACCACCAACAGGTGTTGGCGAGGATGCGGGGAAAAAGGAACCCTCTTACACTGTTGTTGGGAATGTAAACTAGTACAACCACTCTGGAAAAAAATTTGGAGGCTACTTAAAAAGCTAAACATTCATCTACCATTTGATCCAGCAGTACCACTCTTGGGGATATACCCAAAAGACTGTGACACAGGTTACTCCAGAGGCACCTGCACACCCATGTTTATTGCAGCACTATTCACAATAGCCAAGTTATGGAAACAGCCAAGATGCCCCACACTACTGACGAATGGATCAAGAAAATGTGGTATCTATACACAATGGAATTTTATGCAGCCATGAAGAAGAATGAAATGTTATCATTCGCCGGTAAATGGATGGAATTGGAGAACATCATTCTGAGTGAGGTTAGCCAGGCCCAAAAGGCCAAAAATCCTATGTTCTCCCTCATATGTGGACATTAGATCAAGGGCAAACACAACAAGGGGATTGAACTTTGATCACAAGATAAAAGTGAGAGCACACAAGGGAGATATGAGGATAGGTAAGACACCTAAAAAATTAGCTAGCATTTGTTGCCCTCAACGCAGAGAAACTAAAGCAGATACCATAAAAGCAACTGAGGCCAATTAGGAGAAAGGGACCAGGAACTAGAGAAAAGGTTAGATCAAAAAGAATTAACCTAGAAGGTAACACACATGCACAGGAAATTAATGTGAGTCAACTCCCTGTATAGCTATCCTTATCTCAACTAGCAAAAACCCTTAGTCCTTCTTATTATTGCTCATACTCTCTCTTCAACAAAATTAGAGATAAGGGCAAAATAGTTTCTGCCGGGTATTGAAGGGGTGGGGGGGAGAGAGAGAGGTTGAGGGGGTGGGGGAAGGGGGGAGAAATGACCCAAGCATTGTATGCACATATGAATAATAAAAAAATAAAAATTAAAAAAAAAAGAAACGTATATGAGATACTCACCCTGAAATTATAACTATATAATAATCACAAGCTTATCTACTAAAGACCTTGCTCAATGAAGAGCTCTTCTTTCAGGGTCTCCAGAACAGCTGGCTAGCCGAACATATCAGGCTTTTGGAACACACACACACACACACACACACACACACACACAAAATCAAAATAAAATACAACACACCAGAAGATTTCAGAAGTCTCAAGTTGCCTTATCTTGGGCCTGCTTCTCTCTAATACACCCTCCTCTTCCAACTTATTCAAGCAGCCACTACACTTTTCTACCTAGACATGACTAAGGGCCATCTGCCTCAGCAGCAGACAAGACAGTCTTACTGAGTGAAAACACCTGCCGAGGGTTTGTAAAAATATGTATGTATTTGCTTATGCTTTTGGTTATGTATGATGGCAAAGAAACAACTACAGGTAAGTCTTAGGGTGGAGAGGGGCTTAAGACACTCACACCAAAACATAAAGACTGACCAATCTGACAGGGAAATTCAAAATGTTGATATAGAACATACCATAAAGTATGTTTTAAAGAACAGACTGGACGAAGTTACTTTCAATGCACATTCACTAACATAGAAGTACTGTCTAGTGTATAAAGAACTCTTACAAATCTGTAAGAGAAAAGGCAAAGAAGCAAGGAGAAAAATGAGCCAAAGCTTGAATAGTCCAATTATAAAAAAGCAAACCAAATGGCCAATAAACATAAAAAGTCATTGAACTTTATCTGCAGTCATGGAAATCTAAAACTGAAAAAAACTTAAATATAGTAAATTAAACTAGTTTAATATCCAAATATATTGCATTAAACACTTGAGAATACTTACAGATTCTAGGTCTTTAATATCTTCCTCGAACTGTTTATTTTGTTCATTCATATTCATAATTATATTAAGTACCGACTGTCTAGGATGCAATGTTCGATCAAACTGGTGGTACATGTTTCTCCAAAACCTTTATGACAAAATAAGTAAGTTTTTTAACCAAAACACAGTTTAGACAGAGTAAGCTCCAATGTTCTGTAGCATAGTGGGGTGACTGCAGTTCACAATAACCTAATCTATTACATATTTTTTGAACAACCAGCAGAGAGGTGCTCAAAGGTTCCCAACACAAAGTAGTGGTAGATGGAATGTTAATTACACTGATTTTATCAGTATATTGTGTACAGGTATTGAAAGGCCACATGGCACCTTATAAACAAATAATTATGGATTAATCAAAAATTTAAAAAATTTAAACTTGTAAATAAATGCTAACTACCGATTTGAATGTATAATAACACATCATATACATGTATCCAGTTATCACACGGTACCCCATAAATGTTACAATTAAAATAATAATTTAGAAGTTTCAATAAGTTGTGTTTGAGAACAATCAAATATGAAACTTCCGGGGGGAGAAATGACCTAAACATTGTATGCACAATATAAATAAAAGAAAAAAAAAATATGAAACTTCCCAGGATGCCAACTTACTTAAAATTGAAAGATACTGTATTTGGCTCCAAAACTGTTAATCTCTGTGATTTGGAACTGTAGAGAGGATTTAAGTACTTCTTTTGGTCATCCAAAAGAAATGGCCACAGGGAGTAAGTCTTCTCCTTCAACCTTAATGTAATAAGAAAAACACAGAAATTATACCCAGAGATGCAAAGTATTACTGCTAATACTCATTTTTCATGAGTCAGTAGATTCATTAAACAAATCAAAGTTTTAGGTTTTTCTTTGAGTCACAGTCTAATCTTGTCTCTGAATTCTGTTCTCTTTCCCCATTTTTATTCATAATTATGCAATACAGACAGGTTTCTTGTTGTACACAACATGGGGGTACCATTTTCCACACAATATATATACTTCATGGGATTCCCTCTCAAGCCACAAAATTTAAAAAACTGGTCTTGGGCTGGTGGGGTGGCTTAAATGGTAGAGCGCTTGCCTAGCAAGCATGAGGCCCTGAGTTCAAACCCCAGTACCACAAAAATATATCTAGTTCAAATAGCTACATTTACAAAGGTGGAACAAGACACTACTACAGTTCTCTGTTTGGCCTGATTCTGTTAACTCCGTATCTGGGCCACAGTGGTAAGTATTACAAGGTAGCAACACATTTAAATGGGTACACACAAGGAAACTAGGCAAAATCAGGACATTGTGCAAGAGTTTTAAATGCCAGTTCTATTGCAAATGAATAGTGTCTGGATAAGCCAGGGGGAGGGAGGCAGAACGTCTGTAAAGGAGAAAAGTGGCTGATCTTCTCATTTTTCCATAGTCTCTAAAATGAACCACAGGTGTATTCTTAGAGAAATACTACTAGGAAATACCCATTTTTTATTTCCACATTCTAATTTGTGAGGATGTCTGGCACTAATTGAGAAGAGTAGTTTTTCCTAAAATAGCTCTATAACTCCAAGAAAAGCTGCCTATTCCAAATTATGATAAACTATTGTGAATGATTATAGCACAGACCTAAACTCTTCATGGTCTTTGATGTGTTCATCTCTGCATAGAGATGAACATCTTTAGAACTCTCCACGTGCTCTTAGTTCTGCTCTCAACTCTACTGGGAGTATGAGCGTGTTGCTGACTACAAACTATTACCAGATTTGGCTTCTCTAATATGTCATTTGGATGCTCGAGAATCTAGCACTGCTCTTTACTGCTACTATAAGAAATCTAAACTCAGAATCCAAACCTAAAAATACATTTAAGAGCTGGGCACTGGCTCTTAAATAATCCTAGCCACTTGGGAGACTGAGATCAGGAAGATAGTGGTTTGAGGCCAGCCTGGGCAAACAGTTCTCAAGTCTCCATCTCTAAAACAACCAGAGCAAAATGGGCTTGGAGTTGTGACTCAAGTGGTGCAGTACCTGTTTTGCAAGTACGAAGCCTCCAGTTCAAACCCCAGTTCCACCAAAACAAACATAAGGGACCTTTCAGCCTTACCCCAGATCTCCTCTGCATAGACAATTCAGCCACAAAATCCCACTCCTCAAAAACCAATTAAAAATATGTCAAGTTGGTCTCAGAGCTCATGTGAGACTCCATTCAGGGACAGACATGCCATGGCCACCACAGGCAGATTATTGTCCCCACCAAACTGTTTAAAACATGAGGAGAGCTATAAAGTACCTCCAACCACACTTTATAAACCAGTACCTTTTAAATCTTTTACACACATTAAAACTGGTGACCAATGCTTTCTGAGTAAGAAAACAGTGTGAAGATTTCTCTGTTTTAAAATATATATTCAAAGTGAAAGGAGCATCAGGATTTCGTGGTGTAGGTGATGGTTTTTGCACAGGGTGCTAGTTATACAGGTGTGTGAGTCTAGTAAATGTACTGAGATATATGTATATTGTATTTCAAAAGTATTTTTACTGTTACCCTGAGGGATGGGGAAGAAGAAGGGCACTTCAGAAATACAGACTATAAAAACTATACTAAGATTCACTTCTATTTCATATTGTCAAGACATTTTAAGTTAACCCTGACTTACGGCTATGACTTCACAACTACATAGGAAGAGAGAGAGAGAGGAGAGAGAGAGAGAGGGAGAGAGAGAGAGAGAAAGAGACAGAGAGAGAGAGAGAGAGAGCCTATTTTCATTAAATCATCTTACTTGAGATCCTCTCTTTCCTTCTGACAATTTCCAAGGAAGTTTCCAAATTGACATGAATAAATATGTTCATGGATCTGAAGAAGAAATGCTTCATTGAATTCAAAAGCTTGTGGAAACTGTTCGGTCAAATGCCACACACATTCCAAGAACTGAGTGAACACTGGTGAGACTTCCTTTGGGTCTCCATCCAAATGGCCACACCTAACCCCCCAGAAAGCACAGCTTTTAAAAATGCCTCTGAAAGAAGCCCATTGTTCAGGTATTGTAAACTTAAACATAGACACACAAAAAAATACATACACGTATGTATTACATATGTATGTTATATATGCACAGGTATAAATGCTTCACAACCACACCAAAAAAAAAAGATATATTTAAGTGCATAACTGCCACTTACCGCTCTGAAAATTTATGTCCAAATGAGATCCAATCTTTTTCTATTAAAACCTTAACAAAAAGAGTAAAAGCTGCTTTATAGTTGTTTTCAATGTTTTTTAAAAAAGGATTAATGCTTTACAACAGCATTTATACTTTTAATTTTATTATTGCAAATGGAACAAAACCAAAAAAACTACAAACAAAAGAGAGCCAGAACCTGGTTAGAGCCAGAGCTAAAGAAGATTCAAAGCACATGAAAAGAGTGGGCTGTGATAAGTTATTTTGGTTGCATTTATTACATTTTAACTGAAAGTGCATAAAGCACTTTCATAAAGCAGAGTTACACTGAAACTTTTTATACATACAAAGATATATAGAAAAGACTAGAAAAATGTAAACTAAAATGATGGTGGTTAACTCTAAGTAGTGGACTGGGGTGGACGTTTGGTTTTGTTGTTGTTTATTTTACATTACTGGGATTTGAAGTCACGGCCTCATGCATATAAAGCAAGAGCTCTCCCACTGAACTAAGACCTCAGCCAAGGAACTTACTTGTACATTATGTAAACCTTTTTCAAGAAAAATAAATGATAAAAAGACCAATGAACACTGGGTATGGTAGTGCATACCTATAAGCCCAGGACTCAGGAGGCTGAGGCAGGAGGATTCTGAGTTCAAAGCCAGCATGGGCTACCATAGCAAGAACCAGTCTCAAAAAAAAAATTGCAGGGTATGGGGCCTTGGTAGCTCAGGCATGTAATTCTAACTACACAGGAGGCAGAGATCAGGCACATAGCTCACAAGACCCTATCTGGAAAATATCCAACACAAAACAGGGCTAGTGGAGTGGCTCAAGTGGGAGAGCACCAGCCTAGTAAGTGTGAGGCCCTGAGTTCAAACCCCAGTACTGCCCCTAAAGAAAGGACCAATGACAAATGGTCCAAATGTTGGTCTCTCTCTTCTCTTGAGTGGACCATCTTCTTCATCAGTCTTTTCTGACATGGCTTCTCTATGTTGACGGCATTGAACTGACATATTTCTCTTTTAGGTTGTGGGGTCTTTTCTTGTTGTATTCATGCTTGCTAGGCAGGTGCTCTATGGCTTGAGTCACTTGGCCAGCCCCTCACAATCCTTCTTCATCAGCTTCATGAGTGGTGGGATTACAGGTGCGCACCACCATGTACAGCTCACATAAAGTATTGAGACAGGGTCTGACTATGTCCTAAAACTTTCCTCAGCCTCCCAAGTGATGACATTACAAATAACAATGAGGTAAATGTTTTTTCTTAGTACTTAGCATACCTTGTAATTTCATTATATAACCACCTAGTATATTCTTTTCAGTGTGAAAATTGCCACTTTTGGCTTTTCCAAAATCTTAAATCTCTCCCATTTAGGCTGTATGTACATCATAATGATGAAGGATGAAGTTTCTTGAGTGCATGCAAGGCTCCAGCCCTGGTTTTGACACTTCTGTGCCTGTGACTTTGGGCAAGTGATCTTCAGCCTGGGCTTCCATGTTCTTTTGTACATCTAAATTCTAAATCCTAACATGGTAACCTCCTCACTGACCTGCTCCCATGCTTAGCCTAAGGGGGAGCAGGAAGGCAGTACCATCCATCCTGAGAACCAATTCAGCAACCTGAGAACCTTCCTGTAGGATGCTTCTGTCCTCCACCCACACTAAGCCCGTCTCATTGTTTCTACTTCCCTACCATTCCTGGGGACCACTGCCTCCCTGTCAACTGTGTGCTGCTGCCACAGGTCTGGTTCTCAGTTATCTTGACAGTTTCTACACTGGCCATGCAGCCACCATTCCCACTCCCCTCTGCTGCAAGATGCCAAACCATCTTTTTTTTTTTTTTTAAAGCAAATCTAATCAAATTACTGTTTCCTTTTTTAAAGCTCTTTAATGACTCTCACTACCCCAAAGAGGGAAAAGTTCAATCCTAGTCTTCTCTTCCTCAGGCCTTCACCCTTCCACTCCTCTGTACCAGGCCCCCACTTTCACTCTGATCCTGAGCTCCATCACGCATGTGTCCCCATAGTCCACCTAAAGGGGCTCTGCTATAGTTCCTGCTGCTCCTCTCATTGTCGCTGGTTACTTACTATGATTTCATTTCAAATCCTAGCAAACAATTGGATTCACAAGTGGCAAGAAAAATATTCTTTACCTTATACTCTCAATGTTAAGTTGAACATTATTTTCAACTTAAAATTTTCTTATTTCCATTTAGCTTGTCCCAGATTCAATGTCAGCAGCACAAAATAATGGTACTGAAAAGGGACTGGTGATTTTAAATCTTTCCTTGCTTTAAGATAACACTGTATTTAATAATTTGAAACATAAAAATTTTCAGTATCTTTTCATTTATTCACCATACATTAACATGTTAATTTTCAAAGTTAATCTGATCAGACACTAAAAAGCAAACAAACAAGCCGGGTGCCATTGGCTCATGCCTGTAATCCTAGCTACTGGGGAGGCAGAGATCAGGAGGACTGCATTCAAAGACAGCCCAAGCAACCCTATTTAGAAAACTATCCAACACGAAAAGGGCTGGTGGAGTGCTCAAGTGATAGAGCACCTACCTAGCAAGCATGAGGCTCTGAATTTAAGTACCAATACCACCAAAAAAAAAAAGAACAGAACAGGAGGCAGGGCTTTATCCTCACAATGGAGAACATTTGTCCAACTACAAATTTAAATTTCATATATTAAAATTTGTTAAGAGACTTAGGAAATGAGGTGTTTTAAACAGAATTTCCAAGTACTCTTATTTGTGCCTTATTTTACTGCATTACTTTTATTTTTAGACAAAATACTGAATATTTCTATTGTTACCTTTTTAAAGGAAAGAAGAAAGAAAAACCTTTAAATGAAAAGTATTTTGTCAAAGATGTGGCACAAATGGAAGCCAGTCCAAGTCAAGGTTTTTAACCTCAGCAGCACTGACATTTTGGATCAGACTGTTCTTTATGCACTGTCCTGTACATTTTGCAGAATCTGCCAGTTAGATGACAGCTGCATCACTGCCTTTAGTGAGAACTGTCTCTGAACACTGCCAATGCACCCTGGAAGAACAAAACTCACTCTTATTTGAGTAAATAAACCCTTACCATGAATCCTTTGGTTGTCCTGTAATAGGAATCCAATAAAAGTGAGCCAAGGGAGCAAACCTGAGAAGTCCTGTCCCACCCGTCAGAACAGTGTACCAACACACTTGCACTTTCAACCGTTATTGCCTGAAAAGAAAAACAATGTACTTAAGATGCTAAGTGAATACCATTTACATAAATCAGTACATCTATTCATTTGAAAACCATACTAGAAGACAATGCATTATAAAGAACTCTATCTGCAATGATATTACTGCATAAATAAAAACAACACGATATGCAAATAAACAAAAATAAAGACAAAAATGGTGTTTCAAAATATTTGTGAATTGCAAGCCTCTATATTAAGTGCTACATGACATTTTTAAAACTCAGTTAAAGTGAAGCTCATTAAAGAATTAAAGGATTGTAAAAGTGACCAGTACCCAAAGTAAAGCCACTCCTTCCCAACCACTACAAACCCCAAAGTCAAGTATGAGAGGTAGAGTTACTTTGGCTAAGAAGATTGCAGCATCCAAAACAGCTTTGATATGGCGAAGCCATCCTGAGTTCTCCAAACCAGAGTAGAAATCGTTGACAGAAAGTCCTTTGGTACCACTGACTAAAAATAAAGGCAAAAATGTGCAATTAGAGCAGGGCTAGTTTCCACCTATCCTTTTAAGGACCTCTCAAGGCCCTTGAGAAAGAGGGTAAATAAACAAGTGAGACTCTTTACAATCAAATATACTATTAGAGCTTAATAACGGCTTTTTGCATACATTTTTCTGTCCTTCCTTGCACTGAAAAGAAATGCTCCAATCTCCCTTAAAGTGATATAACACAAGTGTTTAACCTAAAATATTTATATTTTAATTATTTTAATTCCAAATCATGACCAGAAAAACACCTTAACATTTAAAGGGAGCATTAACATAAAGTAATCTGCACTGTACTGAGCAATCAAAAATTTCTAAGAACAGTAATTTTTCACAAAATTGTTAGAATAATACAGTAGTCACTACCCAAATGTGACTACTGAACACCTGAAATATGGCCAGGCCAAAGTAAGATGTGTTGTAAGTGTAAAATACACAACTGATTTCTAAGACATGATGAAAAGTAAAATATCTTATCAATTTGTTATATCTACTACAGTTAAAATAATGTTTTTGATAAAGTATATCAGTATCAATTTCACCTGTTTATCTTCACTTTTTAAAATTTGACTATTAGGAAAGTTTAAATTATATGTGACTACCATATTTTTATTGGACAAAGATGTCTAAAATGTGAGTAATATTCTTACCTTCCAATAACTTCTGAAGGCTGGACCTCATAACATGAATATTTTCTATTCCAACAAACTGAAATCTTATATTAGAATAGTTATCTTCATTTTCATAACCTTTTCCAGCTGCTCTGTTTGCAATTGCATTCAGCTAAAATTTAAAATTTTAGAAATTTAGAATCAAATTATTTTTATCTTTAAAATTAATTTACCATAAAACATTAAATGAGCACCATTATAAACTAAGAGGATTTAAAGGAACTTCTTAAAACTGAATAAGCTACCATTTTTTAATAAGCAAAATTATCACATTACCAACAATAGAGAAAGGACACTATAAAGTAACAGTATGGTTGTTATATAAAGGGAAGTCTAAACAGAAAGTATCCACAAGTTCATGAAGCTAACTCATTTACATTTTGTGTCAGTTTTTATGTGTCTGTAATATTCCAAAATTAAAAAGAAAAGAGTATCTCTTATTTCAATCTTAAATGATTTAGAGATGAGCAGAGCTAGAAAGCTTTTCATTCACAGAATCAAACTATGAGATTCACTTTAGAACAAGCCTGGGGCCACAGAGGCCTTGACAATCACATTTGAAATACATCTTCAAATTACTTGCAGTTCAGTATGTTAGACATTACTGGAGGCCCATACACTGTGAAATAAAGCATATAATCTGCTAGCCTAATACAGCTCCAAGAATTAGGCCAAAAACAAACTGGAGAGAGAAAATAGGCTCTCTCCGGGCCCACGGTCTTTGTTACTATTAACAAATGTTCTCAGGAGTTGTTAGATTTGGCATCCTTACTTCCTTCAGACTAGGACTTCATATAACAGGTTACCACAGTTTACTATGCTCATCTATGAACCTGAATGAAAGGGAATCTAAACTGGAAGAGAAGGAGATTTCATTCAGTGGATGGGGGCCCCAGGTTGGTAATGAGTACAGTTAAACTGTATTTACTGACTTACTAGCTATGAAGACTAAAGCAAATTAGGAATAAGATATAAAAAAAATGCTCCCACATTACTACTAAAGTTTAGAAAAGCTATCAAAGAAAAGTATATTTTGTGTAGAAGACAACATAAAAAGGAGCTATTAGGTCTTGAAATACAAATCACAGCCCAACCTCATCTTCAAAAGTCTCATATTAAAACCACTTTTTATATCTAGTATTACCTAAAAAGAGTTCTAGCCAATCAATGAATGCAGATTCTACAAGGGAGTATAATGAAATTTTTCTTATGGGAGACATCACCAACTCTTGACTCCTAAGCAAGTCTTTTACTTTTAACAAAATAAAAGATTATCAAATTACCAATTTCTAATTTTAATACTTCCTAATTTACTCAAATTATTCTCATCTATTTTTCTCTCCATTATCTTGAGACTACATAATGATGAGAGTTACTCTTAAACAGCTATGATTCCTTTCACAAAGCTGCCTAAGACTGTGTTCTATATCGCTCACTCGCTTTTTCTCATCGCTTTCTCTTTTCTCATCATTCCAGATTTTTGAAGAAATCCTCACTATAATTCTGCCAATGTCCTTTTGTGTATCCCACCAGCTCTGCATGCGATGCTATAATAAAAATTAAAAGTAAAGTTAGCTATTACCATTGAAAATTTTAATTCTTTAATTTCAGGGTCCTATATGAATTGGCTGTTAATGGTGCTCAGAAAGAGAAAGGAATATGTGGTCTCAATGATAAAAAGTCAATCATATGCCAATGATGCCTAACTAAATAACAACTTCCTTTGCACTATTTTTAATTCTCTATTTCAATGGTTCCTAAGTTAACTCATTGTGTTCCCTATTTTTTAATATTTCAAATTAAAATCAAATTATTTTAACACAAAGTATTTTACCAACTAAAAATTGTATCACAATTTTTTCAAATTTCTAATTAAAATTGTGAAAAAATTCTATAAAAAATAGTAGTAAGAATTTCTCATTTTCACAACACACACACTACTTAGTATTTCTTCACAACATCAAAAGGCTTATATACCATCAAGAGTGGAGTATAAAATTCCACTTCTTAAAGTTGTATTAAATATGTGAGAAGACATATGAAATCACCTCTTGGGTTACAGAGAACTGGTCTAAGTTGGTTTCCCTTAAAGGACTAGCTTCATTTTTATCATTAGCCTCTGTTCATTTAAAACTAGGATTCAGATATTTTAAATGTGGGCAAATGTATTAACTCCCATTCATTAAAGCATATTGAACTTAAGATACATACTTTGGGCCTGGTATCCACAACATACATGTAGCGATTGACTGGGTTGGCTTTACTAATGGCTTGAAGCAAATGTTCATCCTCCAGGCACCTGGCACTGAAGCCTGACAGTGGCTGGCTACATCGACAAATGGCAGCCTAATTTTAAAAAGAAAGAAAACAGATTATACAAAGATTTCTAAAATAATTCTCAAAAAAAAGCTTAACAGTAAAAAAAACTTCGAAAGTGTTAAAATCAAATATACAATCTTTTAAAAGTCAGATAGACAATCATGAGGCATTAACATCTGAAATCCTATTTTAATTAAATATTATTAATATTATTTCAATATTCTTGATGTTCCCAATCTTTTCCAATGTGCTATGAAAACTAAATGCCTCTTTACCTAGTTTGATTTAAAAAATAATAAATAAATAAATTTAAAAACAGGTCCTAAGAAGGAGCACTTTGTCAATTCTATGAAATGACATACTGTTAAAACACCTGAGGGCTGGAGGAGTGACTCCAGTGGTACAGCACCTGCCTAGCAAGCATGAGGCCCTGAGTTCAAACCCCAGTACCTCTCTGGAAAAAAAAAAAAGAAAAGACACTTGCATCCTGTGTTCTGTTTGGATTACAGAATTCTTTCAACTCAAATTCAAGTAAAAGAAAATGAATAGCTAATACATGTAAACAAGAATTTCTAAATTAGCAACATTTGAACTTTTACTTTCCAAAGGCTTTTAAATCTCTAATTAGAAATCAATAATCTTTATATAAAGACATAAAATGAGCAAGAGCTTCAATTAAAATCTGAATTAAAATATAGTCAATCTAAGGATAAGTATATCTGTAAGAAACAGTGAATGACAGAATTAGGTATTTACTGGGAAGTTCTAAGAAAAATTTAAAAGATTCAGACCCATATACTGTTCTCCAGTCTCATCCATGTCAATTTCAACATCTGTACTCAAACATTCCAAATACAGTATCATTAAGGGGGAAAAAAAGGAAATATAAACACACATTTTTGTACATTTTAAGTGCACACAAACCACAAAAATTTTAAATAGAAGAAAATGAGGATTGTCTTTCTAAATTCTTTTTATGCCTACTTTCTGATTTTTGCTAAGTTGGTCACTGAGTATTTTCACCCTACCTTTCCAAAAAAACAATGTATACAAGCATAGACGTGTAAAACAGAAACAACCAGTTAACCTCACTATGACTTAAGTTATGAAAAGCAGATTAGAAACTTGTTTAAAATTTACCTTTTACCTGGCTCCCTTCCAAAATCCAACCAAAGTTCTAACAAATTTAAGATGTATAAAGCCGTAAGGACAAAAGAATGGAAAAGTGAATGAAGATGAAGGTGATGGAATATGGTTGATGGACTTCATATACATGTCAATAAAACCTCTTGCAATTGCTTTAAGTGGGGCGGGGGGGTGTGGAACCTAACCAATGTACAGTGTAAGGCTATTGGCAATTGGCACAACTGAATCCCCCGCCCCGTGCAATGAATATATGGTACTAAAAATGAAAAAAAGAAATTTACTTTTAAAGTGTAAATAAAAAAAAAGAATGAAAAAGGAAACAATGGAAATGTCAATAAAATGTAGGGAGATGATAGCAGATTGCAAATGCTGACCAATTTGGCAGGGCAAAGAAAGCTGGCAACTACCTTAAGTCAGTAAGAGGTAAGGGGGCTCAAGTGGTAGAGCACCTGCCTGCCTAGCAAGTACAAGGCCCTGAGTTCAAACCCATTACCACAAAAATTAAAAAAAAAGAAAAGGCAAGGCTTTCGGAGTAAGTAAAATTACACAAAGGCAGCTGGTACTAAAGGCCTGATCAAGGCTATCACTACAAACAGGAGGACTGGTTAAGGCCACCACATCCCCCATCATAAAGACAAGTTATTCTATGAAGAGGATTAACCTGAACACTCTGAACAACAGGCATAACTATGGATGGAGATGAAGCCACACAGCCTCCAAAATAGGACAGTTAAATAAAGTCTACACAACTTATACACATGGGAAAAAATTAAAAGATTCCACTTTGATGAAAGAAATCAACCTATAAAACAGAAAGAATCCAAAGACATATAACTTCAGGCACACTAACTTCTAAATGGATGTAAATATGAGAAGACAAAAAAAATAGGAAAAAAAAGAACTCTGAGGAAAAATATGACTAATGTAGGCAGCATAGACTCCTTTTTAAAAAAATCCTTATCCTCAGAAAACTAAGACATCACCTCCAACAATAGAAAACTAGCTTAAAAAAATTCAGAAAATAGGAAAGAGCTCTTAAATATTAAAAACATTATCTAGCAAACAAAGAATACCTCTTACAGGTAGACTGGAGATATGGCTGAGGAAATCTAGAAAACAGAAAGACATGGAAAACAAGAGAGAAACCTAAGGAAAATGGACGCTTATGCTAGGAAGCCCAATTGTCAACTAAATATAAGTTTTTTAAAAATAAAGAAAATAGAGGAAAGGATATTATCAAAGAAACAGAAAACTGAGATCTTAGTTTCCAGGCTGAATTTTAAGTGACTTGTGAAAGGACATCACTGCAAAATTTCAGAATAGGGAGAAAAATTCTAAAATCTTGGGAGTCAGCAATGGCACAAAACTCTTCAACTTACTTGCTGTGAAATATACATCTCTGATCTACAACTTCCCCATTTAAAAGTGACAGGTGGGTGAGATAAAAAATAATTAACCTAGAAGGTAACACACACGCACAGGAAATTAATGTGAGTCAACTCCTTGTATAGCTATCCTTATCTCAACCAGCAAAAACCCTTGTTCCTTCCTATTATGGCTCATACTCTCTCTACAACAAAATTAGAAATAAGGGCAAAATAGTTTCTGCTGGGTATTGAGGGGGTAGAGGGGAGAGGGAGGGGGTGGAGTGGGTGGTAAGGGAGGGGGTGGGGGCAGGGGGGAGAAATGACCCAAGCCTTGTATGCACATATGAATAATAAAAAAAAAAAGTGACAGGTGATTAGCAGAGCCTACTTTATGAAGTCAACAAGATATGCATATGAAGCATTTAACACACAACACCTGCTGGCCTATGGTTAGCAGGTTACAAAGGTTAAGTTTTATTGCAATGAGTAATGTCTAGTATGCAAAAGACCCTGGGCTTTAACACATACGTACACACACACACACACCCTCACACACACCCCAACCCCTGTAACAGCAGCTCATTGTGAACATGCCTCCACCACCTCTTCATGTTGCAAACTCCTGACAATTTGAAAAGCTTAACAATAAAACAGGAGCTGGAATGCCCTTGGTTCTTTTACTTCTTTCAATGGTTGGCCTGTCAAACTATCTGCTTTCCCCCAAATACATGGAGGACTAAAAGAGTACCACAGCACAGAAAGAAGAACCTGTCTGTTCACTAATCCCATGACTTTCAAGTCACTACTGAAAGGAAGCAAGACAGAAAAAGGAAGATAAAAAAGTATGAACATTTCTAGGGTGGGGTTGTAGCTCAAGTGGTAGAACACTTGCCTAGCTAAGTGGCAGTGCTAAGTTTAATACCTGGTACAGGCAAATTAAATTTTTTTTTAAGTATGAAATTTTCTATATTTCAGGACAGTTTTATTCTTTTTTGGGGGGAAGGGGGTCACAGGGCTTCACGGGCACTCTACTGCTCAAGCCACACCTCTACTTTGCTCTGGTTATTACTTGGAGATGGGGTCTCAGGAACTATTTTGCCTGGGTTAGCCTCAAACCTCAATTCTCCCAATCTCAGCCTCTCAAGTAGCTAGGATTACAGCTGTGAGCCACTAATGCCCAGCTTAGGTAGTTTTAAATTTAAAAATTGTCAAGACTCATTCAGAGTCTTTAGGCTAATCTTCTCCATAAAATAAACTTTGTCTTCATGGTGAGGGGCGATAGGAAGGTCTAAACTAGTCCTTGTCCAGGCATTGGACCTGTTCTATTTGTAGTGAAAAGTTAGCATGTCTTTATTACCAACATTATAATGACCTTTTAAAATAAAAATTAATTTCTACTGGATACTAGAACTTAAAAGGGAGAGTACTATACCTACAAAATCCAAAGAGAAGGTTCCTACCTGCTTGTCTTGATGATAGTAGGAAAGAACTGGGAATCTTCCCTTGCTCCGGAACTTGGAACTACCAACAATTATTGGTTTGCTTGCTATCCCAGGAACATAGAGTTCTCTGGGGTAAGTTTCACAAATCTGTAAATATCAAATAAAACATAAGTAGTCTATTCACTTCAAATCTCTGAGATTTAAAAATCACCTTAAAACACTTCACATTTATTAAATACAAGAAGAGTTGCATATATGGAAACCTTACAATGAAACCCCTTGGTATAACTAATACACGCTCTGCCCCTCTGGCTCTACACTTGCTGAATTTCTCCAAAGAGTACTATGTTACCTTGTATTCTCGGTTGGCATCAGATAATTGCCAGTGTGAATTTGGCACTCCCATTCTCTTATATTCCTCAGCCAGGTCAATGAGCTGCCAACCTTGTAGTCGTTCTGAATCATTTTGTTTAGGATTATAAGAAAATGCATAGAGATCTTCATATTTTGCTACAGAATACAAAAACGTTAAAATGTAATTTATAAGACTTATACATACATAACTATACATACTTTTATATAAATCATATAGCCATACATTTATAATACATATTACACAAACATCTATAAATACATAGGTTATGAAATACATATTTATATGTACAAATATATAAATCACGTAAAATGGTCTCATATATATAATTTATAATACACTATATGTAAAAGTAACTCAATTTTTTTTTCTTCCAGTTATTCTTTAACATCTTTGGAGATGGCTAATATATGAACTTACCTGAACTTAATATTATCTTAAGCTTGGTAATGCAAGTGATTGTATCTAAAGGCATACATATGGATTTGAGATTTGATTTATGTCATTAGCAAAAGTTAGGTTAATAAAGAATACAGTTAGACTGATATGTTAAATCCTCTACTGTGATTTTTCTTTTCTAAAAAGTAACATTTTAAAAACACAAGGATACCTTCCACTTACTCCTTACCTTCTACTTACTCCTTTTCCCAAATGAGATGTAAAACGAAAAGACCAATACTATAATGAGAAACTAGAGATGGCTGGGCACATCTTTAGTGTTCACTCTGGCTCAACTTGGGACGATGGGATGCAATGGGCTCTATATGCTGAGATGAAAGTGAACATAGACCTGTTCCTAGAAATTCACTTAAAAAAAAACAATGTGGAGCTGGCTATCAAGAGACTTTAAAAATGTTAAAATAAATCTAAAGGCTTTACTATTATTTCCTTACTATTACCCTTTCTTTGGACACCACTCTTAACAATCCAGATCAATAGTTTCTTATTATTTCTAAGCCATTTTGGGGAGCGGGTAAAAGTGACAAGAAACTGACTGCCAAAGTAACTATAAAATAATAATGAGACTTTAAAGTATCTTGGAAAATCCATCGCAAATTGAGCAACGCAAGCTTTGGTCCCTAAGAACAATACCTTGTTTTGACAGTTGCAGCAGAGAGTTATAAATATCATGGCAGTCTCTTTCTCTGGGAACAATGAAATGCACAGTCCTGAAGTTCTTGCACTGAATCACGAGTGGGCATCCAGAAGTAGTCAAAGCAAGTTTCTCCACTGAGGCAATATGGTGGTGTAGTATCTACAGCATGAAAAAACATTTAAGACACCAAAACAGAAAGCACTAATACATATTCTCTTCCAAAGTACATAAATGTTAGGAATGTCCTCCTCAAAGTCACAAATGTTATGTGCTACACACTCATACTCAAAATATCTAAATGGCTCAATGCCCAAACCAGGAATATGGGTGCCACCCCTTATACGTTCCTCTATCACAATAAATATTCATTGAATGAGTGAATGAAAAGTCCAACTATAAACTCAATACTTGTATTTTAAACATGATTATCATTCTCACTGCTACCAATAATCCTTTGTTTGCTGTTAAAGAAGTCTACATTTTTAATATCGTAATTTAAAATATCTATAGGAACTTTCCAGAGAACAAAAGGTCTTAGGTTTCTGAAAGCTAAAACTCAATCATGGCAAGAGATCAAGTCATCCCAAACTAACCTAAAAATTTAACATAAATTCCAGTATAAAATTCTATTCTGCTTTTGTCTTGTTTTGTTTTATGATAAAGTGAGGGATTGTTATTCATGTTTTATATACTATTACATACTAGCATTAATTCTATTAACTATACATGTTAAATCTATAGTTAACATGCAAGAGTAAATGCACACAAGTAATCAAGATGAGCTTCAGAAAGACGGGTAAGGGGAGTCTGTAGATTAAACTTTACATGGTACAATTAACACACATGTAAGCCTACACTTATGTAGAATTAGCTCCATTAACATCTTTTATTATCATATTATTGTTGCACTGGGGGTACATTGTGACATTTACAAAAGTTCCTACAATATATCATAGTTGAATTCACCCCCTCCATCATTCTCCTTATCACCCTCCTCCTCAATTAACATATTAGTGGGCCTGTGCTAAGCTACTCAGAATCATCTAATAGTGACATCTAAATAGAGAATTAGGGACAATAAGATTTAGGAACAATATGTCACTATTGGGATTCCAATTAACCACCAAAATTATTTGCAGAAGAAAGATGAAGGGACCTGACTCTATACTACCTAGTTATATGACTGTGAAAAAAATCATCATCTATAAAATAAGGAAGGACAAAAGACTGGAAATGCCCCATCTAAAATTAAAATGCTCATACTAAACAGACTTCATTCAGGACAAATGGGACTATCCCGGTAAGAGAGCATTTTAAAGATAACAACAGGGCAGAAGAGAACAGAGACATCTTTTTGCTGTCCCTCAAACTATATTCCTAACATCTGAAGGAATAAGTTATCTGAAGGAATGACCTATCAGTACTATCAGAAGGAATTCTGCCCATACTTCATTCATGTGTCTGGGAGATGGAAAACATACAGAAAAGAAATGAGGCATGTGAACAAAGGTAGAGCAGGAGGACTGGATGATAATATGAATAATAACTTTACTCATATTTATAAGGCACTTGAAGAAGAAACTTCCAGCATTTCTTGTGCAACCACTGGGTGGGGAAGGGTCCAGTGTCTCTAGAGAATAAAACTTCTCCACGGTCAACTTCCAAGGTAAGCACCTTAACCTAACTTGCTACACTCATCCATCAACTGGATGGCCTTCCTAGGAAAATAAAAAGACCACCAAAAAAGAAGGCAGCAGATGGCCTAAGGGGACTCCTTAGCAACATCAATCCCTGTACTGGGAAGCAGAACTGATCTCTAATCTTGATTCCATTGCTTAGAAAACGTAATAAAACTAGCTACCATTTAAGGAGCTGCCACTAAACTTCAGCAGATGCTTTTCCTGTTTCTTCTCATTAAGATACACAACAGCCCTATAGATGACTGATGATGTATGTACCCATTTTGCAGAGGTGCTAAGCCCAACACTGTATCTGCCATTCCTCTCCACCTTTCCACCTTGCAATACCCACAGTCCTCAAGGGATGAAAAACCCCAGAAATCTGTGTTTCTCTGCCTCCTATACAGGCAGAAGTATCCAAGTAACCCCATTTCCAAACAGATGTAGGGAAAGTCAGCAGGGAGCAACCTGGGAAAACTCCCTGCTAAATCAAGGGGAGAGCACTGAACAAAGCCCACCCACCTGTTATGCCTTGGCGGTGAGGTGCCATTTTTCAACCTAGTAGAAAGCACATAGATATAGTCGCCCAACCAGTAAGCAGCAAAGATGGCCAGCCGGGCACCAGTGGCTCATGCCTGTAATCCTAGCTACTCAGGACACAAAGATCAGGAGGACTGTAGCTTGAAGCCAGCCCAGGCAAAAAGTTCAGGAGATTCCATCTTGAAAACAATCCATCACACAAAAAAAGGGCTAGTGAAGTGGCTCAAGGTGTAGGCCCTGAGTTCAAGCCCCAGTACCACAAATACACACATACATATATATACATACTTGTGTATGTGTGTGTGTGTTATATATACAAGCTCCCTTTCCTTTTACTTCTCTGAGCCCCTCTCCTGCTGCTTGTGTGACCCAGACTATCATTTCCTCCCTGAACTTCAACTTCCTCATCTACAAATGGGTTATGGAATCTGCCTCTCCAGGGAGGCAGAGAAGTATGTCCAAGCCTCTCCCTCTGAAGCACACAGACACAAGCCCCACACGTGATCCCCTTTCTTCTTACATCTCCTCTTTACTTTTGTCTCGCCCCACTAGAATGTGAGCTCCATGAGGACAGAATTTTTACTTGTTATTATTGGTTATGTATGATATCCAAAATATCTAGAATAGTAACATGAAAACAAAGTATATGTTCAATAAATATGCTAGATGGATGAGTGAATAAATAAGGAGTCAAAAGGCATAAAGCAGTCATGATTCTATTGAATATCAAGACATGTTAAAAAGTGATTGTCAGTAAAGAACTATGGTGTTGGTGCAGTATAGTCAATATACCAAAACCAGAACAAAGAGCTCAAAAGCAGATCCTCACATACATGGAAGCCTTATTAATGACAGAGACGGTTCTAAATACAAAAGCAATAAAACAGTCAATAAGTGGTGCCAGTTGTTCATTTGAAAAAATAAAACTAAATCCCTATGGCACACCATACACCAAAATATTTCCCAGATGAATTAACTTAAACATGGAGGACAAAATTTAAAGCTTTTAGAATACAGAAGAATCTTTAGGACACTGACATTTGGATTTCTTTTTAAAAATTACAAAAGAGAACAAACCATAAAAGAAAAGAGTGAAAGATCTGTAACATTACAAATTTAAACTTTAAATAAGACACATACACACAAAACCATACAAAAGACAAGCTATACATTAGGAGAAGCTAGTGATGATACACATGTCTGACAAAGTATTAAATCCCAGAATTCTAGCTCACACCTATAATCCTAGCTACTCAGGAGGCAGAGATCAGGAGGATCTCAGTTCCAAGCCAGCCCTGGGCAAACAGTTTCTCAAGACCCTATCTCCAAAAACTCCATCACAAAAAAAAGTGACTGGCAGAGTGGTTCCAGTGGTATGAGAACCTGGAGGCCCTGAGTTCAAACCCCAGTGCCACAAGAAAAACAAACAAACAAAACCAGAATTCTTACAAAATCACTGAAAGATGGGGCTGGGAATGTAACTCAGTGGTGGAGCACTTGTTCCATGGGTTCAATGAACAAACACACACGAGGAAAGACCACCTAATAGAAAAATTTCTAAAAGGACTTCTTTGTAATCAGCAAGTTAACATCACAACTGCACATCTGAACACACAGACAAAAACGGTGAAGATGTAGAACAATAAGTAACACTACTGAGGAGAATAAACTGGAACAGCCATTTTGGAGACGTGATATACTTAATATGTGCTTATCCAAGACCCAGTAATGTTACTCCCAGGCAAATATCCAAGAAAAACACTTGAGTACACTGCAATAGCAACAGAACATGGCTACAAAATTTTTATGATAATATAGTATGTTAATTTTATGCAGCTGTGATTTAATATTGCATGTTTCCATTTACTTTCTCTAAATTACAAATGGAGCCATACACAGCCTTTATCTGTATGTCTAAATTTTGATAAATTTTAATTCTTTACAATAGATTTGTTTATATTTTATGATAGTAAATGATAAAGCAGGGACTACTGCCACATACATTTTATGTATACAAAACATTTAACTTTTTATTAATTATTTACTATTTCTATGCTATACATAGAAAATTGAGCTTTCTCCAATTGTTGAAAATCTAAAAAAAAAAAAAAAAAAAGAAAAAATCAGCAAGTAAGTGGACTTGCAACAGTTCAAACACAACATGTCATTCAAAGGTCAACTGTATACTGTTATGCATGCATACAATTTCAAGTATACTTAAAAGCATACCTTTGTATATATGTATATGCACTTGAAAACATATACATATCTTGTGTATATATAAATAACATGTTTGTGTATGTATACTTTGACTTTCATAATAACAAAAAAATCTTAAAACACCTTAATTGTAATTTGCTGTGAAAACACTCTGGAATATACCAAACAAACCACGTGATCTGTTAACATACTTAGATTTTTTTAAAACTAAAAGGAACAAATAGGTATTTTACAATTATTTGTGGAGATAAAGAGTCTGGTATTCTACAAAATTCCAAATTATACATGATACACACCACTAACTTATAGAAGGGAGGGCAGGAATGATTTGAAGACTGAAAAAATTTTGACTGAGCTGTGCATAGTGGTACATGCCTGTAATCTCAGCACTCCAGAGGTGGAAATAGGAGGGCTGCATATTTGAAGCTAGCCTGAGCTACCTATATAGGTAGTTCGAGGCCAACCTGGACATAAAGCAAGGCCTAACTGAAAATACAAAAAAATTTTAAAATTGGTTAAGCCAGTGGCCAATGATTAAAATTCTTACTATACATACTCAAAATAAGCCTCAACAGTAGCCACAGTCCATTATCATTACTACGGCAAATGGTCCTTACCCAGGTTTCTTTCTGATGAGAGTCGATAAATAAGAGATGTGTGGCTGTAAGATACAGTGTTCCTGCTAATGACTTGTTGCTGGTACTGAATCGGTCAAGTAATTTCACTTGTTCAACCTAAAAAAGAAAAAGATGTTATTTTTCATTTCAAAAGTAATATAAACAGTTCTTTCTTTTTAATCCCAGGACTTACATGCATCATTTGCAATTTTCTTCTCTTTTTGCCACAAAACTTAAGAACTTATTTAACACTCAACATTAAATTTCATCTACTTTTTTGGGAAACATAAGCCACAAACAACATTGGCATTACTTCATTATAAATGTAACCAATACAAAGAAAGTCGCAAAACACACTAACCTTACTTGTAAGAGGAGGAAGAAAAAGTGGTGTGATATAAATAAGCAAAAACAATTCTCATATCCAAGAGTCTATTTGTATTTGAAGCTGGAAAACGAAGCAATAAGTACAGAGAGCTATTATCGAAGTTCTACAAGTAAACTATTAGAAAATGAAATCAGGGAATAGTTATATGCATTCAAACTCCAGATTAGTCTCTATTCTTCCCACAACCCCACACCAAACAGTTATTTATGGTCCAGCTCTGGGCTGTTACTCTCACATGGGTCTTTTCAGCTTAGCTGGGTGCTCACTGATGTCCTGCTTCCTAACACAAATCTTCCTCAGGAAATTTATTCCTCACTTATGTCATGGATTTGTATCCTCATAGCACAGATTACATCCATCTGCACTGGCCTCCTGTAGAACCTGAGGCAGTGAGGCCATAGTGTGTCTTGATCAATACTAGTACATACACACACACACACACACACACACACACACACACACACAGAGCTGTCATTGGAATGGACAGTGGATTGAGATTGGTCAGAGATGTGCAGGAGGCTACTGCTTTGAAATTTAATGTCACCCAGCCTTATGGGGGAAAAAAGATAAAATAACCACTATCAACTTTAAAATAAATTCAACAGAATACTTTTCTCTAGAAACTCAGATATGATGCAAATGATATAGCTCAGATCTGACAGTTGGTTTGACATACAAAAACTGTCTAATCCTTGACCTTTAAGAAAATAAGAGAGCTGGTGGGATGACTCAAGTGGTAGAGCACCTGCCTAGCAAGTGTGAATCCGAGTTCAAACCTCAATGCTAACAAAATAAAGGTGACATAATATACATTACTTATTTTCATTTTCACAATTCCTATGTGGAGTTACTAATCGCATGCAGCTAAGTAGCAGCTAGTCAGTGGCATGACCACTTATACCTGTGTGTGTTCTCATTCCTGCATTAGAACACCTTCCCTCTGGGTTATACTGTCTCCACTTGTGCATCAAGAGCCATGTTAAACATCCTAAAAGCAAAACTGACCACCCTCTCACTCCTCACAAATGTGATCTTAATTTTGTGCTTTGGATGTTAAGTGTTCCTCCATCCTCATCAGGTCACCCATACTGGAAATCTGGAAATCATTCTATGACTTCTTGACTCACGATGTTCAATCACTAACTGTTACCAATTTTATCACTTAAATATTTCAAAATCTGCTCCTTCTACCACTATTAAAGGAATTCCTAAGTTAGAATGGAAGCATCTACTGTTCATTCGTCTGTCTCTCCCGCTAAAAACCCTTAACACATCCCAAAGCAAGGACAATCTCTTCTTGCTTTCTGAATAACTCCTTAAGGCTAGAATAGTGTTTGGCACTTAACTGGTTATTGACCTAAGATGAACTGCTACAGAGAATTTCCCTTAAGGGAAAAACAAAAAGTGTCCAAAAGTGTCCACAATTTACCAGTGGTCTGTCTCTCTCTCTCTCTCTTACTCTCTCTTTTGCAATCATTCATAGGATTTATTAACCCACTATTCTCTTCCTTATTTCTGCTACCTTTTCCCTTACACAGTGGGTGGTGAACTGCAGTAATTCATGAATAAATAAGCAACAAACTAAAAATGAATAGAAAAACTACTAGTAGAAATCATAGCTGTTTTTCAGCTTGTTTTATCTACCCATTTGGTAATACATGTTTGGACTTCCAGTTCTCTATCTCCACCTCAGAGAGCTACAGTAAGGTTAGATAATCAATGTGAAGTATTTCACCCTCATTTGCCTGATAAATGTAGGTAATAAAATGTTTAAATAAACATTTGAAAAATTACTATAGATTTTGGTAAAATTACTATAATCTGGTAAAACAGGTTGAGCCCTGCCAGTCCTCTGTACTAAGCTACTATCCAGTTAAGTTCAAAAGGAGCACTTGGAACTTTAAGAAGCAAATTTGGAAGGAAAAAAAAAAAAAACAAAATGTTTCCTTAATACAATTTATCAAAAGCAAGGATTAGCTGGCGCCAGTGGCTCATACATGTAATCCTAGCTACTTGGGAGACTGAGATCAGGAGGATGAAGGTTTGAGGCCAGTCCAGGCAAATAGTTTCAGAGTCCCCATCTCCAAAATAACCAGAGCAAAATGATCTGGAGGCATGGCTTAAGTGGTAGAACACCTGCTTTGCAAGCTCAAAGCCTGGAGTTCAATCCCTAGACTCACAGAAAGAAAGAGGGAAAGGGAGAGGAGAGACAAGATGAAAAGAAACCAAAACACAAGCCTGGTATCAGAAAGCCCTAATTCAAAAATGCAGTTCCTGAGAGCTCCAAGTTAGCTAGCTCCCAACTAGCAATGTGACAAGTTAATCTCTACAAACTTCAGTTTTCCCATCTGTAACATGACAGAATATCAGTGACAGTCAAAATAGCATCCTACTTGTGGAAGTATTCAGGTACTCCTCGGAACCTACTGGCTCTTATTACAAAGGCAATTAAGATAACATGAGTTTCTCTTAATTTTTCTTTTTGTCCTTTTGAGACAGGGTCTCACTATGTAGTACATGGTATGTAGTCCTTGAACACACAATCCTTCTGCCTCTGTCTCCTATGTGTTGGGATTACAAGTGTGCACTACCATGCTTGGCTCAGTTTATCGTTTTTAGTTTTATCTCTCCTTCCCTCTTTATAGCAGATAATGTGCACCAGTACATATACGCATATGACCTCACATTATAATAACAAAAAGAGGGAACAAGCTAAAGAACAAATTGGATTTACTTCTGTAATAACTCCAATTAAGCCAGATTTGGGGGTGGGACACATACAATTCTATAAAAACTCTGAGAGGCAGTCTTTCATTTAGCCTAGGAAAATGTTCTTCCATCCCACTATGTAAAGTTCTATTCTCTGAATCAAATAGCACAATATCATTTGATATCGATACATAATAACAGCCAAGGCATTGGAGCCTGACAGGGAAACACTGCATATTTTTCTTTATTTCTTGACAGAACTAATCAGAGCTCAAAGTGATAGGCAGTAGCTACCCAATTCATCAGTACAGCTTAAAAATTCAAATCCAGGTACCTGACATAATGAGCCAAATGTGACCCAAACAGAATGATATATTTGTCCTGAACTTCAGCTCTAGGAAATCCTTTAATTATTTCAGTTAAAATATGAATCTCTAGTTACAGACCACAAACCAAATAATGACTCTAAACAATACAGACAATAATAATTCATATATATTATTTAAGACAAGAAAAGGTTTGGGGAAGAAAAAGCTCTTAGATTTTGATTTATTCCTAAGTAAATAAATTTAATAATTAGATTAAAATGAAACACTAGAAAAGGCATACATACTATTTGGAGTTAGAAAAACCTTAGTTCAAATCCTAACTACTCCTCAGGAGCTCAAACTCTCTAAGCTTATTTCTTTCTCATCTGTAAATGGAGATAATAAAACCCAAGTGACAGGATCATTTTAAAAATTATGATAGCTAATAAGTTAACATATTTGTGAAATGTGAACATTGTGAAATTATTACAAAATTACTATCATGATATATTGTTGCTCAAAAATGGTAATTTTTTACTTTTCACATACAGCTGTCTGAACAACATGAAGCAAATCACTAAACAGTCACAGTAAACTTCTGAAGCTACTGACTAAACTACATACAGCCTGAAAGTTAATAAACCTAAAGCAATCCATTTTTGGCTTTGAAATACTTACAATTATTTCTGCAGCAAATTAACTATGTCCAGGTGAAGGCTATGTATGCATAATGGAGAGAAAAAGTAGGCTATGTTCAAATCGATCTTTTAAGAACAAGTTCTTTTTCCCACAGAGTGATAATTTAAGAAAGTGTCGGTCCATTCAACAATTACCAGAATGCACTGTGAGGTCCATGTCCACCCTGCTGCTGTAGAGCGAGTGTCCATTCAGTTCCTGGCACATAATGGGTACCTAGCAAATACTTGTTTAAGTGTAGTCTACACTTAAGATTATCCCAAATGTGGTGGTTCAATGCTAGAACAACACAAAGTGGTAGTGCATACCCGAGGAGTAATCTTAACAGAATATCAGTCACAAATCTCTTAATCTTTAAAAAATCACCAAGGGTGTAGAAGTCATTCCGTGGCCTCAGCCGCTCTCTATAGAATGCACATCTGGAACCTGTCCTATCCCCCTCTAGCCTCGGTTCCACCTCTGCACCTGTTTAATCATCCTTCTAGTGTCAAATTTTAAGTGTGACCAATCTGAATTCTCGAGTTACTTTACTTTTCTCCACTAAAAAACTTTTAAAGGTGGCTAGTCTTTAGCATCTTCAACTTCACTTGGTATACGCAAAGTTAAAAACGAGCTCTAATAAACATCTCTGTGCATCTCTGGGGCATTTCCAGGACTCAGATCCCCCTCCCGATCAGAGAGGAGGCGCGCGGGATCTGGGGAAGCGGCTTTCCCCGCGGTGTGAAAACGCGCGCGACTCTTCGCGACTTGTTTCTGCTCCAACCCGTACCCCACGGCGAAGTTTGCCTTAAACATGGCTGGAAAAAAAAATAACTTGGTAATCTTCTGGTGTTTCCTTCCGTTTTTCAAACTTCTCAAAATCAACGTTTCCCGCAGAGACACGAAGCTTGGAGCTAGACCTTCCCCGCGGGACCGAACCGCGATTCGCGGGCGGGGGCCGAGCGGGGATCCCGGCGCGAGTGCGTCATTGAGTGGGACGCGGCCCGCCCGCCCCGAACCCCCGCTCACGGGGGGCCGCCGGGTTTTCCTAAGTGAGGTACCGAAACCCCAAAAATTGAAGCAGTCGGTGTTGGCCAAGACAGTGCTGAGCCAGGGGCGGCGACGCTCTTCGCGGACTTGCCCCGGCACCCCGCCAAGGCGACCCGGCCCGCGGGCCCTGCCGCCTACCTTGGTCGTCCGAATGTGCTCCATCCCGAGGCGTCCGCCGGCAGCCGGCCTCCCAGGCGGACCCTGGGACGGCAGAAACCCGGCGGCGACGGCGGCAACGACCCACAGCCAGCGGGAACTCCCTCAACCGCCCAGAGCCGAGGCCAGGCAGCCGGGCAGCGCAGGCGCGGCCGGCGAGCGCCGTCTCCTGGATACACTTCCGCAAACCCGGAGGCCAACGAGGGGACGGCGCGGGCGGCCAGAGCGGCGTCGTGGAGAGCGGCACCCTGGCTGGCCCCCGGGCCTTCGCAGGCTCCACAGCGCCCCCGGCGGTGGACGACTGACGCGGCTCCTCACCCTCTTGGCCCTTTGTTTCTAGGTGTGACAGTGCACCCCCTTGAAAAGGGATTTGATGGGTGAGGACGAGTCTGAGTGCCTCTGAAGTTCATCACCACAGCAGGAAGCAACATCAAATTTAGAAACTTTCACTTATGACAAGCAGTGCTACTGCTCACTAGGGTTATTCTCAGGAAACAGTAAGATAGTATTTATTGTACCCTTATTTGGAACAAATTCTCCAAACCTTCAGGTTTCCTTATATAAAGCATGGTGCATTTAACTACATGTTAGCAGGGACATCAATCAGAAATCATGCTGTAGGGGGTATTACATAACAAAAATGTTGATGCTACATCACTGGGGTAGGATCCTGACTCCCTAGTAAATTCAGTATGACCACGCATTGTGATTTGTAGGCTGCAGGATTACAGATGGTTTTTGTAACTCCACTCATGCCAAGTTATCAGCCTGCAGAGCTTCCTTCCAGGGGACATTCCTGGATCCAGGCCAGGTGGCTGCTGACCACACCACAGCATGGAGAGGCCTACCCCAGACTGACTGAGTCTCATTTTTAAATAGAAAATACTGTTTTTAAAAGCTTAGAAAGGAGACTGGGGTCCAACTCACTGGTAGAGCAGGTGTCCAGCAGGTGTGAGGCCCTGGGTTGGTCTCCCAACACCAAAGGGAATGAAGGAAACTAAACCATCTTTCTCAATGCAAATGGTATTACAAAGGCTTCTCTGACATCTAATTTTTAAGTAAAAATTTTATTTCATTTTATTCAAGATGTCTTGATGTTTTAAGTGCCCATTATATTTCAAATACACTGCCGAAGACTTGGGGATGCTTACTTAACAGTCTGGAGTCTGACTCCTGCAAGAGAAGTATAATGAGATTGAACCACCTAGAAACCAACTTGGCATAGAATCATATCCAACACACACACACACACACACACACACACACACACACACACACACACACACACACAGTTCTGGGAAAAACAAGTCATGAAGGTCCTTACTGAAGATGTACTGAGAAAACACATCAAGGCTTCATAATAAAAACCTCTTTTTACATCATTATCCCTCAAGTTCTTATCTCACCCATTCCACACACTCCCCTTCTCATAGCTGGACATGTCATTTCCTTCGTACTGATTTTCATGAACAAACATAACGACATTAGCTAACATTTACTAAGCAATTATCAGGTGACAAAGTGTAGTAAGTGCTTTACCTGTGTTATCATGGTCCTCATTTCAAAGGTAAGAGCAGTGAAACACAGGGAAGTAACTTGCCTGATATCACACAGCACATACAACCTAGATTCATGATAGAAAGCCAGGCAGTCTGGCTCCAGACTGCACTCTAAGCCATTCTGTATTGATTTGTTTTTCTAAATCCATATTAAAGTTCCATTTGTGGTAATATGATAGGCTATAAAATCACCCTGCTTTAAAACAACTAAAATAATGGACAAAATATAAGGTCGAATTCTCTGAAGCATCGAATAGCGGACAAGACAGTGAGAGCTTACATGCACAAAATACAAATGACAGTGGCACTCAGAGAGGGAAGCAGGACACTTAGGTGCCTTGACATTGAGAAGAGTGAGGAGGGGGACAGTTGCCTCTTTTGGAAATACTACAACCATGAAAGGGTCATTGGACGGAAATACCCTGTAAACTCGTGTCACCTGTGTGATCTAAAAGTGTGTAAGTTGAGAGTGTAAGGTGGTTGGGACTAGTAGTGCCTCAGAATTTCATTGTAGCAAACACAGATCCTTTCTGGTGGAACATTCCTCTGCAAAAGACCTTAAGTCATCTTACAATTAACTTCCTAAGGAATATCAGAGTAACAAAAAATAATTCACATACAGGGAAACAGTTCTTGAGATTATGAGCAGAAACAACATGATAACAAGAACACATTTTATAATTATCAGGATTAGTTTATAAAACAACTATGTTCACTACCTGTAAAGAAATAAAAGACAAGAAAAATATTTGCCATGTATGGTTAAAAAAAATTTTTGAGACAGAACCTTGTTATTTAGGCTGACCTCCTGAGTAGCTGGGATTGTAAGAAACACACTGCCACATCTGGCTTGGAAAAATAAATTTTATCTGACCTATTTGGTATGGAGGAGAACCAGACAGAACTTCCATAAATAACAATAAAGTCAGCTCTCCATATTTGTAAGTTCCACACCCATGGATTCAACCAGCCATGGGTTGAAAATATTTTTTTTTAAAGCAACATGTACAGGCTATTTTCCTTGCCATCATTCCCTAAATCCAGTACAACGGTGCACCTGGCATTTACGCTGTGCTAGGGATTCCAGGCTATCTGGAGATAAGAGGATGTAGAAGGTCACCTGTAAGGCTGTACCTTCACATGGAGACTTGAGCATCTGTGGGTTTCGATATTTACAGGAGGCCTGGAACCCGTCCTACATTGAAACCAAGGGAAGACTGCAGAAAGGGTGAAATGGAAACCTCACTAGGTGGGCTTATCAGATTGGATACAGCAGAAAAACAGAATTAGAAAGCTGGAAGTTACTGAGGAATCCAGAAAGCAATACAAAGAGTAAAATACTGCAGAGATGAAAAGGAGGGTAAGAGAAATGGAGTTAAAAGGTCGAACATAAGTCAGTTTTATAAGAATAAGAGAGACAGACTGGGGCTAGATAATATTTGGAGAGAACATGCTTGAGACTTGTCAGACTGCAGAGAAAACGCCAACCCACAACCCACAGAATAAATAACCCAGTAAATTCTAAGCGGGATAAATAAAAAGAAACTCATATGCAGATGCATCATAGTGAACTATATATTCACTATGTTGAATTCACTATGGCATCACCAAGGATGATCTTCAAAAATTGGAGATTTTTTTTTTTTTGAGATACTGAGTTTTTCCCTTGTTCCTTCCTATTATTGCTCATACTCTCTCTTCAACAAAATTAGAGATAAGGGCAAAATAGTTTCTGCCGGGTATTGAGGGGATGGGGAGAAGAGGGAGGGGGCGGGGTGGGTGGTAAGGGAGCGGGTGGGGGCAGGGGGAGAAATGACCCAAGCATTGTATGCACATATGAATAATAAAAAAATTAAAATTAAAAAAAAAAGAGATACTGGGTTTTTGAATGGAGGGCCCCATGTTGTTAGGCAGGTGCTCTACCACTTGAGCCATACCCTAAGCCCTTTTTTGCTTTATTTTTTTGGATAGACTCTTGAATTTTGGCCCAGGGCTGGACTAGATCATGATCCTTCTATGTTTTCTGGGATTACAGATAGGTACCACCATACCCAGTTTGTTAGTTGAGATAAGGTCTCACTTTTTGTCTGAACTGGCCTTGAGGGACAGAGGTGTGGCTCAAGTGGTACAGCACTTGCTTTATAAGCACAAAGCCCTGAGTTTGAACCCCCATTCCACTAAAAAAAAAAAAAAAAAAAAGAACTGGCATTGAACTTCAATCCTCCTAACTATGCCTCCTGAGTAGGCGGGATTACAAGCACCACAACCGGTCCTAAAAATGGATACGTGAAAAGCATCAAAAGCAGAAGAATAGATTATCTCCAGTAAATCAGCAGTTAAACTGGAAGTCCAGTCAACTTCTCAGCAGCAACTGTGGAAGCCATGTAACATTGGAAGTTACTAGTTAACTGGGTATGGTGGTGCCCATCTGTAATCCCAGCACCTGGAACGCTGATGCAGAAGGATGCTCAGTTCAAGGTCAACCTGGACTACGTGACAACTTGTCTTTAAAAACAAACAAACAAACAAACAAAAAACTGACAAAATAATACCTGTGGCATGGTTCTATTTACATTGTTTTGACTTTTGGAAAATCCAGTTTGATTATGACATTAACAATGTCCTTATCCAGCCTATTGGAATCAGCAGAACATGGTTTAACAGAATTCTCATGATATGGACTGATGAAGCTGTTCAAGTGATAGAGTGTCTACCTCTGAAAAAAACAGAGAAAAAATTCTCACAATACAAGAAACAAGGGAAAACCAAATGGCTTTCTTAGAGTACAGACAGTGAATCATTTGCTTCCCCCTTGGAAAGTGGTCATTTACACAGAACTTACATGGGTTTGGGTCCTGAGAGTAAAAAGTGTAAACTCCTTTGGAACAGAGTTTGTCACGTGTACTAAAGTAGGTTAAGGAAACTCAAGCCAGCTCCAGTGCTCTGTGGAGCAGAGCCTGGCTGGGGGACAGTCTTCAGAGTTATTCTAGGCAGGCGTGGTGCTCACGGTGTTACCATTTTCCTGTCAAGTTTTCAGTTGACTAAGCAGACAACTGAATGTACTAAAACTCCATCCTCTGGAGTTGTTTCTTCAGAACACAAGGATGACATCTTTTCCTTTTGCTAACAGGAGGAACAGCAGAATGTATATGATGCTATTACTGGTGGACTCTTGTCAGATGGTACAGAAGTACCTATAGTTGTTCAAAGGGCAATTTACATGTTGTAAAGGCAAACACTGGGGAAAATTTGGGTTGCCTTTGCAGGAGGAGCTAGGGTGATTGACAGGTTTGATTGACAAGTTCTTGTTACATAACACAGGGCATTGTGTGACTGTGCTTAAGCACATTACCAGGTTTTTAATTGTATGTATGAAATGCATCCAATATTCGTAAGGTTGAAAGTAGAAGGCTCTACCTGAGATGTCAGACTGAACAGATTTCTCTTTACTGGGAATGTGCTAGTTTTTTGGACTTAACTGGCCAAGAGACTCCTCTCTTTTTGGGGGAATTACAGCTGAAATCCTGACCATAAAATGATTGTTCGAGGGGATGTCCAAGGATGGTACTGGATGGAGACAAGGAGGAATTCAGCATGGAGTGACCTTTGCAGAGGAGATTCAAGTCCCATGACAGTTTTTGTCTTTCACTGTTACTAGTCTGCCTCAGTAAGTGACTCTGAGGTCCAGTCTTAACTTCATGTATCTAGACGTGTGTGACAGATTGTAAAATTACTCATCAAATAGTCCATTTTCTGCCTCTGCAGTGCTCATCTCTGTGGAGCTTAGAGGTCACTGGTTACTACCAGATACAGGACACAAATGCCATGCTACATTTTTTTATGAGTTTGAAAGAACTGTTGATTTGCATGGTTCCCTGAAAGCCAAAACTTTTATCAGAGTCAGATTTGCTTTATTTCTTTGTTTTGGCAATACCTAGGGGTTGAGCTCAGGGCCTCATGCTTGTTGGCAGGCGCTCTGCCATTTGAGCCACTCCACCTGTCCCTGCTTTACTTCTTTTATAAACTTTTTACTTTAAAAGTTAAAGATGTACAGGACTGGAGGTGCACCTCAAGTGGTAAAGTATCTGCGTTCAAACCCCAGTCCTACCCCCCCCAAAAAAGTTATAGATTTACAGATTACAGAGTTCCCATATATCCCAGAGGCAGTTTCTCTTACTGAAACAGATTCAGGGACCCACCTCTACATGGGACGGAAGCTAAGAATTGTCAGAGAGCTGGCAGTGTGGCTCAAGTGGTAGAGGGCCTGATTAGCAAGCACAGGGCTGAGTTCAAACCCCAGTACTGCTGGGAAAAACAAAAAAAATTGTCAGAGCATTGTTAAGTACTTTACCGATGAGTCTTTGCTGTAAACACCCTTCTGAATTCACTCTTTTCTTTAACTGTGCTGAGATGTTGGCAGCTGGGGAGACTAAACTCCCTGACAGCTGTTAGAGCCTTCTCTGGGCCAGCCAGGCGGTTCAGCATGACTCCAGTTCCAGAAGGCACTGCCCAACAGCTTGCTGGCTTCTGACCAACACCAACTGCCACTTCCACCCTGACCAGAGTAGGACCCAGGGTGGGAGGTAATGGAGGGGTGGATCAATGGAAGACCATCACTTCCACCCAGAACAGGGACAGAAAGGGAGGTCAAAGGGTGGTGGCCCAACAGACCAACTGCCATTTCCGACCTGGGCCGGTTCACCCCTCCTTAGGCAACCTGGTGGTCCCCCGCTCCCGGGAGGTCACCATATTGATGCCGAACTTAGTGCAGACACCCGATCGGCATAGCGCACTGCAGCCCAGAACTCCTGGACTCAAGCGATCCTCCTGCCTCAGCCTCCAGAGTAGCTATGACTATAGGCGCGCACCACCGCGCCGGGCCCAACTGCCATTTCCAAGAAGGGGACACTTTGGCCAACAGAAGCCCTGTGATTGGTGCTAACACAATCCTTCATTGGCAAACAGACTGTACTGATTGGTGCAAACATGAGGGGAACTATTGTGATTGGAGCAGACACTCTTGTCCCTGTTCCCTTCAGGCTGTATATAAACCAACTGCTCAACTCACTTTGCGAGCAGCTGGGAGACACCCTCCTTCCTGAACCCTTTATCTTGTAACAGCCAGGTCCCAATAAAGTCTTTCTAGTGGTCTTGCCCACCTCTGCTGAGCTGGTAACCCCCAAGAAAAATAAACAGGGCAGCAACAGGCCCAGCAAACTGAGTAGCCAAGGGGCTGTGGTGGGCTGTAGGCAGCATCATCCCGAGGTGGAGAGCCTTGGGGCCTCAAGTCACAAAGAGCTGTTAACACTTAGGGCCCAGAAACCTGTGCCCCTACCTTGGCTGTCAAGGGCTTCAGACCTGAATCTGGTGCCACCTGTTAAAAGGCCCAGCAAGGGCCGACTGCCACTGCCCACTGTGGTCCACTCTGCCACCTGCAAATACTGGAAGGGCTTGGAATAACTGGAGGGGCTTTTTCCCGCCTACCCACGTTTTTATCTGGGTGGAGAGGCGCCCCATCCAACCAGTTTATGAACATTCTGTATTAGTCCCTACAACACTTTTCACATGTCCTTACCTTCCAGTTGATACTACATTCCTCTCATTAATAAGTGCATTTTGCTCTTGCTAATTTTATGTTGTTATCTCCAGGCTTTGGGAAGAATACACCAGAGAAAAGACATGGGGAGTTGCTTTCTATCTTCCCATAAAATATCTGGATTGAGCTTAACATTTTTTTAAGGCAATTCTCTTACTGACTATCCTATAGCCAAAGCGTTCAGATCACTGGAGCTTTAAAACTCAATGTGGTTTTGGCCTTTTCAATAACTGACCCTTTTCTCTGGAAAGGGTCAATAACTATGACCCTTTCCTTTTTGGATCCCCGTTGCAGTTTGCATGTTTCAAACGCCGTTTTTAGTTATATAAACACAGCTGGTGCGTTTTTTGCCCTGGGATCCGCAACTAAAGACAGTGGCTATAGCGGCTGAAGCACGACCCACTTTAGCTGGCCGTCCCCGCCCCCACGACCCCTCCTCGTGCTCTGGGGCCTTCCCTAGATTCGCACTCTTACTGTGTTAAGGAGCCCTTCCATCTCACCTGCACTGCACTTGTTCCCGTCCTTACACCTTCCGCTTTGCAGTTCTTTACTACCAGCACCACGTGAGGCGGTGCCACACACCGGTCGGGAAGGACCCAGAGGCGGCCGACCGCCCCGCACTCATACCCACTAGAACTCCGGACGCCACTCGCCGGCTTGGCCCCAGAGCCGAGACGCGGGGGCGTGGCCACAAGGCTGCGGGCGGCCTCCGCACTTCCCGGGACGCCCAGCTGGGCTCGTGAACCACTTATTTCCGAACCTTCAAGAAACAATTAACATGCCCACCCCATCTCTTCCTTGTGGCGCGGAGCTGCAGCCAACCAAAATCAGACGACGCCCCCGCTTTTTGTACGGGAGGGGGTGATGCGCACACGGATCCTCCCCAAGTCTGGGGTTCTGGACATCCTTTTTGCTAGAAGGCAGGGAAGAAACAATAATTGAGATTCATCGGCCGTAAGTAAGAACAAGACAGAAAGAACCAGACAAAAAGAAATGGCTCTGCTGAGTAATTTTTAAACTCTGGGCGCCTATCCCTTTAAGAGAGTAGGCCGTGCTCCAACTCCGCGGCGCCCCAAGGTGCCTTGCGCTGCAGGACGACCTCCCTCCCCCGCATCGCCGTCCCAGGGTTCCCTGCGCGACGGGCTCGCTTCCGGCGTGCTCGGAGCGCGCGGCGAGTGTGGGCGTGCATTTGCGTTATTCACCCCCACTTCGGCCTTGCTTCGCAGCCGCTGGGGCTTGAAGTTCCCGCTGGGCGAGAGCGATGGTGCCTGGCCCACCTCGGCTGTGAAGCGAGAGTGCGTCCCAGACCTCCTCCGAGTGGAGCCCGGAGCAGGCATGTCTACGGGGTTCTCCTTCGGGTCCGGGACGCTAGGCTCCACCACCTTGGCCGCCGGCGGAACCGTTACTGGCGGCGGTTTCTCCTTCGGGACAGGGGCGTCTAGGTGAGCGCCTTCCTCGCTCTGGGGCCCTCTCCCAACAGGCTGGCTGCCTGTTCTCCAGCCCTTTCCCTTCCCGGTGGTCCTGGGGGAAGCAGTCTTCGCGCCGCCCGCGAGCCGGAGGTGGGGGTGGGGTAATGAAATGACCGCTTGTGACTGCGCTTTAGAGACGAGTAAAAAAGTCTTGAGGACAATTAAAAGTTTCTCCTTGGTAATTCTGATTCCGTTTTGGTATTTACGGTTTGGGACGTTACGGTGCTTTTGATTTTGTGGTGGTTTTGTTTTTTCACGCCTTTGTGTCACTTGGGACCTTATTTGTTTTGGTTTTTTTTTTTTTAAACTTTTTGTAGCGTTTATTGGTGGTAATGTGCAGTGCGTGTAGATTAATGTATCATAAGTAACAGTGTTGTGCTGTAATGACCATTTTTTTTACTTCAATTATGAAACCTAAGTAGAACAAGTACATTTTTGTGCAATCTACTAGTTCAGGTGGTGACAAAAATACAAGTAAGGGGAGGTCCATGTGTCACATAGGGAGCGACCATTTCAATGGGATTTCATCTGTAGAATTTAGTATTTTGAAGACAAAGGTAGATTGTGAAATGTGCACTCCAACGACAGGGTATCTCCTCCAAGCTTAAAGGATGTAGTTGTAGAATTAAAAGGCAAAAATACTGCAAATTACTGTATCTTTAGAAAGTAAGAAGAGAGGAACCACAGACTACAGTCAAACCAGAAATCTGGGAGCTTTCCTCCATATCTCCTTTTCTCTTACTCTGAACTTTTAATCAGTGAGTCCTGATAATTTTACTTTTGCAGGTTGCCATTTGTCTTCATTTCCATTGTCAACACCCTGCTCTAGGCTGTTACCGTTCATGGAACAAGTATTAATGGGGCAAATTCCTGTGTGTTAGGCTCTGATCTTCTGACACATCGTTAGGAAAATATTTGATTTTAAGGTTTTATTTTTTATTTTTTTGTTTTAATTACGAGCACTGGTACTTTATCTCATTCTTAGCTGATAGTTGAAAATATTTTTTCCGTCAACTGAATGAATTTAAAGATAGGAAAATGACATTGAAAAACAGTTTTTAAGACAAGCATTATAGATGTGATATCTTTGTAATTACTGTATTTGCTATTACTTTTTTTTTTCTTTTAATTTTATTTTGTCGTTTTTACATTTACTTTCATGTGTATACATTATTTGGGCCACCTACACTCCCTCCCCCCCAATTTATTTACTTGCAGTTCTGGGGATTGAACCCAGGGCCCTGTGCATGTTAGACAAATACTGTTACCGCTTAACTACATTCCTAGTCCTCTTGTCAGGTTTTCAAACAGCCACCTTTCTTGTGTTTGATAAAAACTGCTCCCATCTCAAAAAGGGATGTAGTAATATACTTACCTTAAGAGTTGTTAGTTAAATCATGTCAAGTATTCAGCATTATATTTGGCACTTACCATGTGCTCAGTAATTAGCCATTGTGTTAGCTTCCAAATTTAACATTAAGGCAGGCTAGGAAATTACAATAACATGACTGACCTTATGGAGTCAACTCTGCTCTTCTGCCATGTGCCACAAGGTCCTTGGTGGGCAACACTGGATTGAATCAATTTTTGGTTAGGTCTAGGCTAGCTTTTGTTTTTCTTTAAGTAAATTTCTCTGCCACAAATACCTTTTTTGCTTCTCTTTGTAGATCCTAACTTGGAGAGCTACTCTGATCTGCCTTACAGTTATTTGTGTTTCTTGATCAGGGGCTGGCTTACTCATCTTTGTACTGTTTTGCTGTTTCTGGCATGTGATCTTGTTTGGGTGAACTTAGTACTCTTTATGATGAAAATAGTGGTAACATTTATCACTATATATTAACATGTATTACATAACTTCTTGACCTTTAATTAAAAAAAAAAACCTGGTGAGTAGTGTTACACTTACTTTGAAGACAAAGAAATAAAGGCTAAAAAATAAGTAATGTCACACAAGTACCAACACATGGGGGAAATGGTACTGCAACTTAGCCATGACACAAGTCATTGCAGTGAAAGTTCCTAGTGTTTAAGAGCAAGCTTAGGCCAATCTCCTAATTCACCCTATCTACACAAGTACTTTATTCTGGATTTTTATTTTAACTTCATTCTTGACTTTTTTTTTTGGTGGTACTGGAGTTTTGAACTCAGAGTCTCATCTTGTTAGGCAGGCACTCTAGCCCTTAAGTCACTCCACCATGTGACTTAAGCCGTGTTTCATGTTGGTTATTTTCAAGATACAGTCTGGTGAACTATTTACCTAGACTGACTTCAAACTGCAATCCTCCTAATCTCTCTCTCATAGCTTGGATTACAGGCATGAGCCACCAGTGCATGGCCATTCTTGATCTTTGAAAGTTATATCACTTTGTACGTCTTTGTACCATTTCTGTGATTGTTGTGATATGTACTACCATGACAATTTAGGTCATCTGGAACTTTTTCCATCTTTTTACACTTTAGTAGTAATGGTCTATTTTCAGCAGTTTTCTACATTCTTTTAATGCTATTTTTCTTTCAAGGTACTCATTTCTGAATTACAGTATATTTTATGCTATATCTTTATATCCTGTTTTATTTGCTTCTGTATTTTAAAGTACATCTACCTCATCTTTAAAACTTTTAATACTACAATATAGGCCCATCCTGGCACTGGGAACATGTGGTACTTTAGTTTGCATTGTGAGTTCAGAAAGTGTCTGAGAATTCTATTTTATCCCAGGAACTTTTGTTAACATACTTTTAAGAGCCAGAAAAGTCTTATTTGATTATTTACATTTTTCAGATAATATTTTTTCCCTAGTTTCTATTTTTGTGGAATTTTAAATTTCTCAATTTCTCCTTGAGTTTTGAAAGTTTATTTTGCCTATTAATTCACACCATTCTTTTTTTTTTTTTCTTGGATGGGTCTGGGGTTTGAACTTAGGGCTTTGCACTTGCAAACCAGGTCCTCTGCCACTTTAACCACAGCTCCAGTCCATTTTGCTCTTATTTTGGAGATTTGGGGGGGTGGGTCTCTCACAAACTATTTACCTGGGTTGGCCTCTTGACTTTAGCCTCTCAGCTAGGATTACAAACCTGAGCCACCAGTGTCTTGTCAGCAGCTCTTTTTAAGCTTTTCAGAACATCCCTTAAAGAGAGGCACTGCTGATAAACACATAATCTTAACAGAGAATAATGATGCTTCTCATTTAATTTCAGCCAAAATAAACTCACCCCATCCCAGTTTTGCAGTTTTTTGTTGGATGTTACCATATTTTCCACCCCCATGAATATGGTAATAGAGCAATAGAGAGGTTGCAGTGAAGAAACTTAGAATAACTTTTCAATTTGTGGCTATATCCTTTGATATGAGTAATTAGGGAATCACTGAATTTAGAAATGTGAACTTGCATGAGTGGTTCTTTTAAAATATGCAAGGCTTCAAACAACCAGATAAAAGCAGAATATGTGATCCTTGCTTATCATTACCTTGAGGACTGAAGCCCTAATTGCTGTAGACTGTGCTTTTCTTGAAGCCTGGTATTGTGTTTGTTAAAACTAATTGTACATCTGGAGTTAATTTTTAAGGAAAGCAGAAAGATATTTGAACTTGATTAGTTCAAAGTAAATTTATTTTAGTTCCTTTTAGATCTTAGATGTATTAGATATGCTATGTGAAATAACCCTGAAGAGTTAATTTTTATTTCTTTAGCAACAATGACTTTAGTAGGTTGTTATTACTTTTTTTCTCTTTTTTTTTTTTTTTTAATAAATAAGCACCCCTTCTGTGGGGCTCAGTTTTGGAGCTCTTCCCGGAAGCACTGCGACTCCAGCGACTACATCTGCTCCTGCCAGTGGTTTTGGAACTGGAGTCTTTGGATCTAAGTCTTCCACTGGGTTCACTCTGGGAGGAACAAGTACAGGTAAGGAGGATAGTCACATTTTCATGGGTAGGCTTGAATAGTTCTTTTCCAGTTTCCATTATATCTTCCTTTAAGAGGTCATCGTTGGAGTAGAGCTGAAAAAAGGATGGATACTAAGATGAAAGGAGTACTCGGGCTTTGGATAAAAGAGTGAAAGGCCTAGCTGTGATCTGCTCTATTGGAAGACTGAAACATTTGAAGGTCTCTTCCTTTAAATATAATGAATTAAAGTTGATTTAAAATTTTGTATTAGATTATATTATGCCGTGTTTTTCCTTAGTAAAGACTGTTGTTTAAGCCACCTTTACCAGTTTGGAGCATTAGTTAATCCAACACTTACAAGACAACATTATATTCTGCTGTATCATAATTCACATTCCTAAGAGATGTTTAAAATTTTTGTACCACAGCACTTGTTTCAGCAAGAAAACAGTAAGAAAGCACTGCAGAACATTTCAATAATAGAAAGTTTTGTTTTTAATACTTAACAGCTTAAAAAATAATGTTTCATTGGAGCTGACCATTTAACAAAGTTTGCTTCCTTACTTACCTTGTATTCTCTACCCACAGAGCCTCACAGTTGCCTTTTTCATTGACCTTCCTGCTTTTTAGTGCAGCACATTTCAAAGCCACACTCAGTAAATGAAAGAATAGCAGGGGTGCCGGCCAGTGAGCTTGGGACAGCTCTGTTTGGAGTAGCTTTTTGTCTCTTTGCATGATTCTGTAATAAGCAATAGCTGTTTGCATTTATAATCAAATTATCCAACCCATATTATAAAAACTAGTGCTAAAGGAAAATGCTTTTGTTATTAGTTATGGTAGCAGATGTGTGATATGTATTTTCTTACTAGAAGCATTGTTAGTCTTCCTTTATGACCAGTAAGCCAAAAGAATGCCATCTTCATTGATGATAAAATTTTCTCTTTTCTTGGGAATATCAAAGGCTGTAACTACAGGATTAACTATGGATAAAAATTTTTGAGGAATGATCCAGAACTGTGATTTTTCTAATGATTTAGATGAATCAATCTTTCTACTCTTCTGATATCTCACAGAATTGGGATAGAGAAGAGAGTATGTAAAAAACTGGCTTTTCAAAGAAATTTTCAGTATGAGTGCATATAAAAAGAATGCCTTTATACCAATCTTTATTTTAGAAAGTATTTTAAATGCAGAAATGGTTTTTAATGTGGAAGTTTATTTTATGTTACTTTTTCAGTCATTTGGGCAATTGACTGAAAAATTGATTTTTGCAATCAGTGCAAAAAAGCACCAAATTACATGCCAGAAGTCCAGGAATTAAATCTTGATTGTATCTCTGTAAATAGTTGTAAGATTGGTTGTAAGCTATTAGTCATGTAATATCTAGAAGCAAAACTTTTGGTTATCTTAAATGACAATATTGCAAGACTAGGGGTATAGTTTAGTGGTAGAGCTTTTGCTCTAACACTCACAAGGCCTTGGGTTTGACCCCCAGCACTACAGAATAATTAATAAATTAAATATTGTACTAGTATGTTTTTAGATTTCCTTTCAGCTTAAAAACAATAGTTTCTGTAGTGGTATTTTTAGGAAATTTGAATAGGGTCTCAGCCTGCCTTGAATCTGAATAGCAGTGAATTATGGGTGACAAGAAAGGAAAGAAGGAGAAAAAAGGGATGTTGAAAAAACCCTTAAGTTGAGATTAAGTTAAAGATTAGCATAACATACCTGCTTATCTCCAAAGTTTTGGACAAGATTTCTACAAGGGTAGGCATTTGAGTACATAAAACCCATCCATCCATTTTTGAAACACTGTTCTTTGGCAGGAACTCCAGTAATTTCACAAGACACCCCAATACAGATCATCCATGCCTTTTCCTTCACTTACTAGCTTCAGTAGTTACTGCTCCCTAACTATGACTGCGAGTATACATAATGTCTTGAACATTCAATATTAGCTTGTGTTTGCGGTGGTGTTGGTTGTGATGACAGGATGATGACATCAGGAACTGTTAAGTTCTCAACAAAACCTTGATCTATTGTGGGGTAAAGTGGATAGGCAGATATTTTATCACATACTTGTGCAGTGTGATAAATCACTTGCATGGGAAAGACACTATGGAGGGCAGAGGAAGGGGAGAATAGGATTATTTTGGGGTCAGGAAACACTCCAGAGAAGTGGAAATGTCCCTTGTCAATCATAATAGAATCTGGGGGATATGAAAATACTTTGTTCTTGATCTTAGGATTCAGAGAAAGAATGAGATTTGAGGAGCAGGTTGGGACCAGGTAAGAAGGGGAGTTATGTGCTGGGACTTTTAGAGGTAGTCTAGAGCTAATGGGAGCCATAAGTTGGACAGAATCACCAGGATATTGATTCTAAGATAACTGAGATAATTGCAAGAATAGTTTAAAGGTTGGAAGACACCAGCAGAGAAATGAAGAGGTTGTTGTAATAGTTTTTCAGAGACGTCCTTAAGGTTTTTGAGCTTACCAATAAGGATATTTCTAAGTAGAATTGGCAGGATTTGTAACTAATGGAATGCAGAGGAAGAGATGTCAAAGACACTTGTAGCTTCTGGCTTGAGCAATTGAAATGATTGAGGTCCGGGATTTAGCGAGTTGTTTTTTTTTTAAATAAATAGTTTATTGGTAAATACATGGTTTGAACTGCAGTAACAAATGAGTCTTAGAAAGGTTTTTATTTTGTTTTGTTTTATTGGAAAATATGTGAAAGTCCAAAGGGATTCTAAGGTAGAACCAACCAGTGGGGATTCAGGTAGCTAGAGATTTAGATTGGTACCTGTGGTTGGAATTACAAAAGTGGGTGAGATCAGTGGTAAGGAAAGAAGCAACAGGTCCCTGGAGAATATCACTTTAGACATGGACAGAGAAAGGAGATTTGCAAAAAAAGCACTGAAAAGGGTAACACAGGAAGGAGTGGGAAGAGAGTTAGGAGCTGACAGAGACAGGAGCCAGAAAGAAGAGGATTTTCATGAGAAAAGAATTGTTCTTTGCATAGTCTTGGCCAAAGGGGCCTATTTTTTTCCTGGGAGTAAAGAGCAGGAAGGAGGATAAACACAATTATAGGCAAATCTAGGGTCGGAATTGAAATTGATCGCATGCTACATTGACTGGGTTGGCTTTTGCTTTTCTTAACCAAAAGGGCCATATTTACTATATTCATAATTTAGTTCCAACTATCATACTTTTTTCTCTCACACACATACATTCTTCTTTTGACAAAAACTAGTCACAAACTTTTATAGGATCCCTAACTATACTAACTATATACTAACTGTATACTAACTATACAGTTAATAATACAGTTAAGGTAAAATTGACGTTCGTTTTTGTTTTGTTTACTAAACAGGAACACCAGCCACTACATCTGCATCTACAACAGGCTTCAGTTTAGGATTCAATAAACCTGCAGCATCTGCCACACCATTTGCTCTACCTATTACATCTACCTCAGCTAGTGGTCTCACTCTGTCGTCTGCTCTGACATCAACTCCAGCAGGTGAGGCACAATAGGAAAAAAACGAATTTAATTGTTAAATCTAAACTTTGTTTGATTGTTTGATTAGGGAACACAGCATTGAGTATTAAAGCAGTAGTGGCTGTCTTGAAATATGACTCTACTTACAGAGCACAGCAGGGGAGAGGGTTAGAGAGGCAAAATGTAAAGCTAATTAACATGTACTTTGTTTTGTGATAGGAGGATAAAGATCTTGTATAATCTTTGATTCATTTGATTTTGAAGATGGCATTATCATCCTGGGCTGAGAACTCTTGCTTCCTGAGACACTTAGCTGGTGCTGTTCTAATAGTGCCCAAAGCTCATTTCTGTCACTGGCTTCTGCTTTGATGCAGCTCTTTCTACCTTATTTTGACTAAGTTACTATTTCTCCTTATTCTTAAGCATACATAATTTTGTCTTCAAGTTTTTTTCATAGAACCAATTTTGTCACGGCAATCAGCTTTTAAAAAATTTTTTGTTTTTCTTTGATGCTCTTAAGTACTTTTACCATTTGAAGACTTAATACCTTATTTTTACAGCATCCACAGGATTTACTCTAAATAATTTGGGAGGAACAACAGCTACAACTACATCAGCATCAACAGGCCTTTCTTTAGGGGGAGCCTTAGCTGGTTTGGGAGGTTCACTTTTCCAGAGTGCAAACACAGCAACATCAGGTAATTGATGGTATTTATTCTCCAGAATAATAAATATTTGTACTTAAATTCACCTATGTTTATTTTGACCTTTTAATCTATGTCTTTCATATACAATTAGATATCTTACCATATTCCAGAAGTACATTTTTCTCTTGATATTGGTTGTGTTTAGATACAGAAACAAGAGGCTATTTAAAGAGTCAGAAAACTTCCAGAGAAACTTCCCTTTTGAACAGTTAAGGAGTCTTGGGGTACTGGGGATGTAGCTCAGTGATAGAGCTCTTGCCACCATGCATGAGTTGCCCTGGGTTGGATTCTCGCCACTGGGGGAAAAATGGGTCATTTGCAGCCCAGCTTCACCATAAAGCAGCTTGTTAAGCCTCTGTTCTAGAAGCCAGGAAAGGGTATGAGGTGGTATTTTACAAAACAAATATTAAATACATCATAGTCACTAGGAAAAATACTAAAATTACGTAGCAGGAAATACAAATTGATGTTTTAAATCTCAGCTTGATTTTTTGTTTCATGCTTATTATGAACTTTGCCTCCTGTTAAGGATTCTTTAGATGTTTTGAATAGTGGATATAGCTAATAGCAATAGAAGAAAATTTTATTTTGAAAAGCCAATGGGGATTTTGTGGGAGTAAAAAAACTTTCCTAGTATTTCAAGAAATTGGATAATTCTCTTAGTGGTATAACATCAGTACTTTCTGTTAAACAATTTACAGATTAGGAAAAGTTGATATATATATCAAAATTTCAGAATTTCTAATGATAGTTCTAATTTATAGTGATGGTTTACTTACATAAGTTTCGTGCAGCCCTTGTAAGTGTCTTGTAAGTGTCCAATTTACTTGGAAAGACGCAGAACCATGACTTGATGTTCTCTGTTAACGTGATGGAGAAAATTCAGGTCATTAGCAGAAGAGGAAAGGGATGGATCAGGCTAAAAATGCCTTCCAGAAATCAGAAGAAAGGCAGTGGGTTGTTTCATTTCTTACCAAGGTTTTATGTGTGCATTGACTCTTGTTAGACTCTGTCTGTGTTTGTGTTTGTGTGATCATTCCTAGAGATTGAATTTTGGGCCTTGCTAATCAAACGCTTTACCACTTAAGACACATCCCCAGCCCGCTTGTTTTGAGATAGGGTCTCCCTAACTTTGCCAGGGCCAGCTTCCTGCCTTTTCCTCCCAGGAAGATAACCTGATTACAGGTATGTGCCACCACAAATGGCTTCTTTAAAAAAAATGGCTTTTTTTTTTTTCCCCATTTTTTGGAAGTTTAACAAAGTTTTATTTAATAAAAAAGGTCAGAGTATGGAGGAATAGAAACAGAGCAAAGGAGCAACCTCTTGAGATGTAGAGGATGGGAGCCGAACAGGCTCCTTAATGTAATATCCAGTGCTATATTATGCCTATGTTAAGGTGCCATTGAGTTTTTAAAAATTATAGGTTAAGTTACCCTTTTCTCAAATGCTTGGGGCAACAAACATTTCTGAAATTTTTCAGATATTGCGATATTTACATAAACGTTACCAGTTGAACATTAACACATGCTCAAAGAGTTTGAGATTTTGGAGCATTTCAGATTGTGTATTTTTAGATTACAGGTGCTCACTTGGATAATGGTATTTACTTATTTAGCCATGTTTCTGTCACAAATTGCCAGAGTTTAAATCCAGTATTGTTATCCCATGCTAGTAACTATCATTTCCTGTTTCAAAAATAGGCAATGTCTTGTCTACAAGAGCAGTTGTATCAGTTTAGGAGTGTGTGAATTTATAGGAATATAGGTCTCTCAATACAAGGTATTTGAAATTTTGCCTACTGTGCATACGTTGAAGACTAAGGATTTACTATTGTCCCTTTGATTTCTTTTGCCAGTAAAGCAAGAGTTTAATGAATGAATGAACTTTTTTCAAAAAAGTTTCCTGAAAAACTTGGGAATACACAGTTATACATAATGTATTCTTACCTAAATCTTGTAAGTCCACACTAGATTATTTTAAAAGTATGCAATTCAAAATAAGATTAGAAGATGAGGTGTACTTACCTGACAATATACTAACTGAAAATACATTTGTAGTAATGATTTAAAAATAACAAAAATTGAAAGTCTACATATATTGAAGTAGTAGATACATTCTGGCCCTCTTAATAATGAAACATCTCCATACTACATACTTACGCCATTTATTCCAGACAAGGTTATCATGTTATTTTCCCAAATTGAGTATGAAGAAAATCTGGGGTCTAACCTAAAAACTTTGGTCAGGAAAGTCTTTCATTGAAATCGATTAATGATGCTTGGTTTATTTTCAGGTCTTGGACAGAATGCATTAAGTTTGACTTTGGGAACTACAGCAGCCACGTCGACTGCAGGCAATGAAGGCCTTGGCGGTATAGATTTTAGTAGCTCATCTGATAAAAAGAGTAAGTAATGTTACTGTAATTTTGTATTATAACGATACTATTTGGGAATTTCAAGTTACTCATAATTTGTTTTGTCTTAAGTCCTTGGTTACATTCAATGGAAGTTTTACTTTTAAGTTTGTTTGCATTATTATATTTTCGCAAATTTTGTGTGCTGAACAATTAAGGCTTTATTATTGTGCATAGCTTAGGTTAGTATGTGCATGTCTTATATAGCTGCCTTAGTAGGTAGGCTGTTTGTTGAAATTGAGATTATGATCCATATGTTTTATAATCTTCTTACTCATATAACTTACCAGAAGCATTTGTCAATGTTGGTAACTCAGTCAAGAGTTTGTTTTGTTTGTTTTACTCTGGAGAGGAGTTAAGAGAAATGTGAATGGTTAATTTCTCCTGTCTTCTGCCTGCCTCCATCATCCTAATCTAAGAGTGTGTGTCTAAGATAGAACTGAACAAAGATAATACATAGAATGAGCATACATGATCATATCTACCACATTTCAGTTCCCATTAATCTGTTACCTCTGTTAAATGATTCTGTTTGTTAATTTACAGAGTTTCTCTTTTCACTAGTTAGCTTTGGACTTTCAGTATCAGTGAGAAAGATTTAACTAGAAGGAGAGTGGTAGGAAACAGCATTCAGTGAGGAGGGGGCCCCATGAACTGAGACCTAGAGATGAGAAGGGCTTTGGCCCTTTTGAAGATCTAATAGAAAGCCAGTGTAGCCAGAGCCTAGAAAGATAGGTGCCACATTGACTTGTCATTACACAAAGGACAAATTGGTATCTACTGAAGGTTGATGAGAGTCGTGTTGAACAGCCAAGTGGAAAAAAACTGCGGGTGTGGACAACTGTTAGGAAGCTTTCATAGCAGTCCAAGTACATACTGAGGCAAAGGTAGGTAGACTAAATAAATGGGGTTTGTGGTGGTCTAGGAATAAGCCCAAGTTTTAAACACATTTGTTTACACACGTGTGTGTGTATAAAAAGCTGTGGTGTAAGAATGAAATATCAAATAAGTAGTACGTTAGCCAAAAGATGAATTATTTGGAAAAATAAAATTAAATACCTATTTTTATTACCATGTATCATCAAATTTCCGATTTCACTTTAGAAGAAGCGTGCCAAATCCACAAATGTTAAACTGAATACTTTTGTGGAAAAATAAATTTAGTTAGATGAAAGAGGTTAAAAAAATGAAACCCCATGGACAAAAGTGAAAGACAAATGATACTTTAATAGTAAAATACTTGATTTTTAGATGCTTATTTTTTCACATTTAAACATCTCTGAAATCAAGATGTATTTTATATGGTTGCAGATTTAGAAATAGATGTATGCTATATGATATATACAAGGAGACAAAGAATCTATAGATTCAGTGTTAAAGTAACTCTTAAAAATCAGTAAGGAAAATGTCCCACCACATGAGTAGACATTGGCAAATGAAAAATATACTTGTCTGGTAAAAATTTGAAGAGAGCGTTTTACTTTTTACTGGTACTGGAAGAAACATGAATTACAATTATAACGAAGTGATGTTTTGCATCTGTATGACTAGCAAAGATTTTGTTTAAATATGATTGTCCATTGTTGAGAGTGATGCAAAAGATACTCTTATTTCACAGCAGAGGGGAAGGTATATCGGAACTGTTGTTTTAAGAATTTATTATATTGGAAAAGTTCACGGAATCATTGAACAGACTATTCAATGCTGATAGGACCTTAAAAGTGTTTAACTCTAGGCAAGGATAAAACTATCCATGTGGGACATTTTTTAAATGGAAAATAGTTGTGAGTCTCCTTGAAGAAATAGATGCAAATCAGCTACATAACACATGTATATAGATGTCACCATAGTAGTGTGGTATCCTTTCAGGTTCATGAGAGGTCATGAGATTGATTAAAGAGGAAAGCCAAGAAATGCTTCTGTTTATATTTTACTGTGTGCAAACTAAAACATTGGGAATGCATTGTTAAATTACCTAATTTTACATTAAGTTTCTTCCATTTTTTAGGTGATAAAACAGGAACAAGACCAGAGTAAGTTTATAGTTACAACTTTTAAAATATTTTAATTAATAGTTTTGCATATTAAATTGTAGGTAGATATAGTTGGAAGTAAATAGAATTGGGTACACATTTAGAACAAAAATTTTCTAAATCAGTTTTTGTCAAAAAGAAACTAATAAATACACGTTGTAGAAAGACTATGAAATTACAGATCTTCATTTTTAGTCATTATAAAAACTTTAAATCCTGTCTTTTTAGAAAGGTGGTTGACATTTTCCCAAATAATACAAATAAATACAAGTGCATGTATTTCTTTGGTGCTGAGTATTGAGTCTTGTGCATCCTAAGCATGAGTCTACCTCTGACTTACACCTGCAGCCCTTAGAGTATGGTTTCTTTTTGATAGTGGGATTTGAACTTGGCCTCACACCTGCTCGCTCACTTGCTGAGCAGGTCCTTTGCCACTTCAGCCATGCCTCCAGCCCTTTTTGGTTTTAGTTATTTTCCAAATAGGGTCTCCTGTAGGATCAGACCATGATCCTCCTTCCTGTGACCTCCCATGTGGGGTGGGATTATAAGAACATACCACCATGCCAGGCTTATTTGTTGAAATAGGGTCTCTGCTAACTTTTTACCCCTGCTGGCTTCAAACCATGATCCTCCCAATCTCTGCCTCCCAAGTTGAGGACCTGGGGTTACAGCTTTTAGAACTTTTTTTTTTTTGGGTGGCATTGGGGTTTGAACTCAGGGCTTGGTATTTGCAAAGCAGGCACTCTTTAACACTTGAGCCACACCTCCAGTCCCTTTTTTATATGTACAAATTACTATACTGGTACCATTTGACTTCCTGATGTCTTCAGTAAATAGCTTCCCTGTACATCAAATATATCTTGAAAGGATCATTATTTTTATCACCAGTTAAGATCATTTTATTACCAATTATGTTTTCTCATTTAATTTGTAATACATTGAAGAAACCATTTGTAAGTAAATCTTCACAAACATCCTGTGTATATTTTAGCCCATTACAGGTTAAATATCCCTATACAAAATGCTGGGGACCAGAAGTATTTCAGAATTGGGATTTTTTTTCAAAGTTTGGAATATTTGTATAGAATTTATGAGTTAAGCATCCCTAATATGAAAATCTAGACTTTAGAATTTTAAATAAAGCTGAGAGCCTGAACTCTATCCAGGGTTATGGAACTCTAACTTCTGATTCCATTATAACATGCTTAATTTGGTTGTTCCTGGTCTTGTTAATTATTTGTGATTCCCTTCAGCTATCCATAGGTTGTATTTGCCCATTCCAGTGCATGCTGAAGAACAAATTCAAGTTATAAAATAATAATGTATTTTGGACATCTCAGTATGAAAAGTATTTGTAGACTTTAATTAATGCTTTAATGTGTGTGTATGTATGTATATATGTTTTATTTTGTTTTGTTTGTGGTAGTGGTGTATGAACTCAGGGCCTTGCACTTGCTAGGCAGGTGCTGTACCACTTAAGCCATGACCCCAGCCCAAAGCTTTAATGTTTTCAAATAGAATAAAATGTCCATCATAGAATCTTTAAGCCAGAGGGAACTTGATTCAGCATCTCATCTGATTTATAGTGTTTTCTGATTTTTTCCCCCCTTGGGCATTAAATGTTTTTAAATGTATTTATAATAGGTGCTAGTCTTCTGAGAAGAAATCTTCATGTCAAATAAATGGATAAAATTATTTTACAGGTCAGGAAATGCATTGTTCTTTATAGAGAAGTTTGAAATCATCCAAAAAAGCTATAGATGGGGGACGTTGCTATGTTTTATCTTAACACATGCTCTAATAAAACTTTCATTCAACTTTTAAAAATTTGGATGGTATTGATACTTTTGTGGCTTCTTTCTTAGAGATAGTAAAGCACTGAAGGATGAAAATCTACCTCCTGTCATCTGTCAGGATGTTGAAAATCTCCAGTAAGTATCAAATTAATTAGATAAGTAATACTTGAAGAATTCTAGGGTACGTTTTAGGAGGAACATTTCTTCCTCCTAAACTTTTTTTCTTTTGCAGTTACTGATATTTGAACTCAGCTGTGTGCTTGCGTGGCAGACGCTCTACCATTTGAGCCATGAACCCAACCCCTCCTAAACATTTTAGCTAAGGTTAAAATTTAGATCAGATTTTAAAATCAGAAAAATGAAATTCTGTAGCTGCTACTCTGTAAAAAGGTCAGATTATAGATGAATTTTTAGTCTTTCTTTCTTGGAATTTTTTTGTGGTGCTGGGGGTTAAACCCACGGTCTCACACGTGCCAGGCAGGCAGGTGCATGGTTACCACTGAGCTACATGCCAGCTCCTATTTAAGTTTTTTGTTGTTGTTGTTTTGGTGGTACTGGGGTCTGGAATTGAGGGCCTCACACTTGCTAGACAGGTGCTCCACCACTTTAGCCACTCTGCCAGCCCTAGTTTTTTTTTTTTTTTTCTTAAAACACTTAGACTTTGACCAACCTATTTTAAATGTACTTTTTTTCTGTAGGAAACCAAGGACATATTTTTTAGAACTAGGTTTATTACTATTACTTTTTTTTTCCAGGAAATTTGTGAAGGAACAAAAACAGGTCCAAGAAGAAATTAGTAGAATGTCTTCAAAAGCAATGCTTAAAGTCCAAGAAGATATTAAAGCTCTGAAACAGCTTTTGTCATTGGCTGCCAGTGGCCTGCAGAGAAACACACTCAATATTGACAAACTGAAAATAGAGACTGCTCAGGTATACTTTCAGACACTTCACTGTAGGATGTTTGGGTGTGCTTTTTTCTGATATGGAAACGGGCTTATTTAATTACAAAGTTTGATATATGATAAGAAAATGAGATAATTCATATAAAGTTGTCCTTGATCTGTTGATAAACTTGATGTGACACCCTTTTTTACTGTGGACTTAGTAGAGTGCTATGCTCTTCCTAGGTGAAGTGATACTATTTTAAGTAAAAACTTTAAAGGTGCTTATGAGTCTTTCAGTTAATTATTGGAGAGTCCTTTGTGATCTTTTAAATAATAATATGTTACTAAAATAGTTATTCTAAACTATTATGTTTAAAAGGAATTGGAAGACTTGTCTGTTCTCGGATTTCCTGGTCTTTTAAAAATTCTATGGTTAAATACGAGTATAGCATTCTATATGTTTCCTTCTTTTTTTTACTTTATTATTAGAGATATACTTTCTAGGGAAAATAGTATGCTTTTAGATGAGAAAATCTGGGCTCTGATTAAACATAACATGAAATTTTAAATTTCATATGTGAAACATGAAAGTATGCAAGTCATTGCAAAATAATGGAAGAGGCAAATTTGAGAGAGAATGAATGCTAGAGTGGGACTTACTGTTAATCTTTTTTGGTTGTATGGGGTTTTGTTTGAACTCAGAGCTTCATGCTTACTTGCTTTGCAGGCTCTACAGCTTGAGCCACTCCTCCACCAGTCCTAATTTTTTTTTTTTTTTAAGAAAAATTTCACTGTTTTGCTTACTGTTTGTTTTACAGTCTTTTTTTTGTTTTTTTTTTTTTTTTTCTTTCTTCTGCATGGTACTGGGGTTTGAACTCAGGGACTCATGCTTGCTAGGCAGGCTCTTTACTACTTGAGCCCCTCTGCCAGCTCTCATTGTTGCTCTAAAAACTGGATTAATCCATCCATAAATATACATGGAGCACCCATTATATAGCAAACTTATGAATAGCCTTTTAGAGACAAAAAGACAAATGGCGGGAGGGTAAATGAAATAATGAAACATTTAGATAGAGCTTAAAGATAGAAAGAAAAGAGGAAGGAGACAAAGTTTCCTTAAGGAAAAATCATCTAAGCTGAGTTTAGAAAACTTTTTAGGGTATATCAAAGATGTTTGATCTAAGATTACTCTTATTTCCAATATCCAGAAACTAGTTCTCTACCCCCATCTAGTGAGTTACCAGTTTAAAAAAAAATTTGGTTTAGTAGTTAACCAATTTTTTTCTTAAAAAAAAAAAAAGGCACAAAAGGCTCAAGTAGGTGCTTTTGTCATCAGTCTTGATGTTCCTAGGCTGGTAGGAAGAAAAGAGAGTGAATAAAGGCCAGGAATGTGACTTAGGCCTGTTTGAGGATCTGCAAGCAGATTTGCATTGTAGCAGTCTGGGCCTGAAGAGAGTCATCCTTAGGTAGGCAGGCACCAGTCTTGAGTGATCCAGTTCTCGCCAGGACATTTGTATTCTAGTGGCTGGGTAGAAACCTGAGTTCAAGGGTAAAAAGGAAGTGCAAAGAGTTGTAGACTTTTAATAGCTTTGCAGCATGATGGGGAAAAGAGGAAGCTATAAGGAATATAAAGTAAAGGTACTTTTAAGAACAAATAAGGAATGCTGAAATAGAGGTTGAAAAAGCAGTGAAATGGTAAGAATGTGGGATTTGAGGAGGTAAAACAATATTAGTTTTTAAAAACCTGTTGTGTAGAAGATAGAAGTGGCCTGAGGAACACCAGAAGGTAGTAGATGGTTCAGTGTGCAAGCTTTGAAAGAATGGACTGACTATATTCAGTTCTCAGCTTCTAGCCACTCCATTTCTTCATCTGTTAAAAGAGAAACATTACCTCCTTTATAGGGTTATTATTGGGGAGTAGACAAAATAATATAATTAAAACCTTCAACATAGTGCTTAGTATACAGTAAGTGGCCAGGTGTTAATTGTTGCCAACAGTAGTTTATGTTATATCTGTTTGCCTTTTTTTAAATAGTGTTTTCTGCATTTGCATGTTAAAGATTTTTAAATAGAAACAGTGTTTTCACTGTGGATAAATTCATTTTGTGAATTGTACAGAATTCTACCCATAATTCTTCAAATAGACTCGTAATTTGTTATGATTTTTATCATAAAATTTGTTTACAGTACAGTTTAGTTTGTCTTCACTTGAAAGAGATTTTAGCCACTTACTATAATGCAGCTTCATCCATAATCTCTCTTATTTATTTATTTATTTTTTTTGTGGGACCAATGTTTGAACTCAGCACTTCATGCTTACAAAGCAGCAGGCGCTCTACTGATTGAGCCATGTTTCCAGTTCATTTTGCTCTGGTTATTTTGGAGATGGGTTTTCCTTGGCTGGCTCGAACCTCAGTCCTCCTGATCTCAGCCTCCCAAGTAGCTAAGATTACAAGTGTGAGCTACCAGTGCCCAGGGCATCCATAATCTCTTATTAAAGCATGAACCTCTAGCTGGTATTATGTGAAGTCTCAGTCCAGAGATGGTATTTTTACTCTTAACTGGCTTTTTTTTTTTTTTTTTTTTTTTTTCTTTTTTAAAAACCTCTGTTATGTTAGGAGTTAAAGAATGCTGAAATAGCTTTAAGAACCCAGAAAACACCGCCTGGACTTCAGCATGAAAATACAGCTCCTGCAGAGTAAGTTCCTGGATATTTAAAAATAAATGTTTCTCATTTTAAGAAAGCAGAACAGAAATAATAACGTAACACTAAGAATTTTTAGTTTACTTTAAAGGGAAGGCTTGATTAATAATAAGCACTTTACATAGATTTTTAAGTTTATTTCTCATAATAACCGTGAGAGGGTAGTTCTTCACCCCTTTACTGAAGGATGAGTGCTGAGACCTGACCTTCAGCCATCTTTGATAAAGATGATAATAGCTCATATGTACCAGGTGCTTAGTGTTTGCTGAGTATTGTGCTCTGCTTTGTCCATGTTTTACCTCATGTTGTTACTCCACTGTAGACATTAAGAGGTGGACGTTCATTGCTGGTCTGTTGCACTCCTGGCCCTGTACTTTTTTTTTTTTCTCTTTTAACTTTTAATTATACTATTTCAGACTTATAGAAAAGTTTCCTATGTACCTTTCAGTCAGATCCCCTGCATATGAACATTTTTAGCCATGTTTATTTGCTTTTTTGGTTTTTTGGTTTTTTTGGTGATACTGAGGTTTGAACTCAGGGCCTCATACTTGTTTGGCAGGCGCTCTACCACTTGAGCCACTCTGCCAGCCTTTTTTTGTTTTGGGTATTTTCAGAATAGGGTTTCTCTTTGCCTGGGCTGGCTTTGAACGTCCATCCTTCTGATCTCTGCCTCATTATAGATGTAAGCCATAAGTGGCCAGCCTTGTTTTGTTTCTTCATTCTTTCTTTCTATATATGGGTTTTTTCCCCCCGAAATAGCTTATGTTATTTGCAGACATAATGCTTGTTATACTTAAGTACTTTCGTGTGTATTTCTTAAAAATGGGGTAATTGGTTGCATAACAGTACAGTTAACCAAAATCAGGAAATCAACATTGCTCCTGTTTTCTTATTCACATTAGCATGGGAGTTCCTCTAGTATTTTATCCCTTTGTCTTATTCCTCATACTGCAAGCTGAGTTAATTTTGCATAAAGGCATTCACAGTTCCTCATTTCTTTGTAGAAAAATGTTCAGAATCTTTTTATTACCATAAGAACTATTAAGTACTGGATTATAAAGTCTGATTGACAGTTGAGCTTTCTTTTAACTTTTTATTTTAAACTTATTTCAGACTAACAGAAAATTGTAAAGATAGTAGTACAAAATATTTGCTTGTATCTTTTACCTTGCTTTCCCTAATGTTAGCATATTATGTTACTGTAGTATAATTATCAACAATAGGAAACTAACGTTGGTGCAGTATAATTAAATAAACCATATAATTAATGGAATTTTATTGATTTTTCCACTATTGTGCTTTTTAGTTTGACGATCCTATTGGTGGCTCACATTGCATTTATTTGTCATTTCTCCTTAATTTCTTCTTGTCTCATCTCTTCCTGAGTATTTATTTATCTTGAATGACCTTTAATCTTACTTCTAGAGACTATTAAGTTATTTTGTAGAATATCCTTTCATTTGAATTTCTGCCCCATGATTGGAATAAGATACAGTAAGTTACAATGTTAGGGTTTTTACTTTTGTGATAATTACCTGTGAATTATGTCCTCAAAATAATTTAAATGCCCTGTTCAAAAAAGGGTGCGTTTATTTATTTGTTATTTTTAATATAAAGAAACTGTTTTTAAAGTTTTGTTCTGACTTTTTAAATTTTTTTTTATAGCTACTTCAGGATCTTGGTCCAACAATTTGAGGTACAGCTTCAGCAGTACAGACAGCAGATTGAAGAACTAGAAAATCATCTTGCCACTCAAGCAAATAACTCACATATAACCCCTCAAGGTACCATGCTTACTGTGGTATTCTATTTTTGGTAGGAGAGAGATTAAACTGCTGTTATAGAGGAGATGAACAACTACAAGTGCTTGTCTTAAGTCTTCGATTAGTTCTTTATTCCCTGTAAATATAAAACACTTTATGAATTGTTACTTTGTGACAAGGGCAGAAACTCTAAGACTTTCCTCTTCCTCTCCAGATTACTGATGTAGTCGCCCTTCTCTCAGTCCACTGTCTTCTCTAGCCATAGTAGCACTGATAAAGATTTTTTTCTCTTACACTTTATGCCACAATTGGATTTGAGAAATAGAAAAATGAAATGAATGTATTTGTGTTACAATGTAATTTTCTTTTATAGATTTATCAATGGCTATGCAGAAAATTTATCAAACATTTGTAGCGCTAGCTGCACAACTTCAGTCTATTCATGAAAATGTAAAGGTGAGTGTTCATTGCCAGTTAATCTATCTGGATATCTAGATCAGAGTATTCGTTTGGGAATAACTGTGGTTATGCTTATTACAGAATTAGCTCAAATTTACATATATGTGAAGAGACTAGGGACACCTATAATATGTAATAATTCCCAGACACAACCACTGATAAAGTCTACTTTTCAAAAAGGAGTCAAGTGCCCTGTTATTTTAACCTTTCCAACAGTTTGTTAGGAGGAGGAACTTTCCATGCTGACACTCACTTTTCCTCAACATCAGATTGGCCATTACATAGGAAGCCATTGTCTGATTGTGCATTGTTCAGATGTTCTGTTGTTGAACATTCATGTTGTTTCATCTCTTTACCATTATAAATAACACAATAGAAAATAAACATTCTTAAAACCTTTTTGCTCTGATTTAATCTTATGTGTGCTTTAAATGTTTATTGGCCATGCCATTAAAATAAAAACTTGGTTGCAACATTTTTTCTTCAAAGTACAGAGAACTGGAACTCATCTTTATTAAATAATGTAAATGAGACAATTTATCTGAATTTTTGACTCATGTAATGTTAGTTCTTAAATTTTATGTAATTGAAATGTTAAGTTTAACTACACCTTTTCTGACTAATCAGTGTCAATTCTTAGTTCTATATGTAGTCCAGAAAAACTTAAAATTCAAGCAACTGAACCATAGTTTAAATAAATTAGTTGTGTAGAATAGTTCAAGATTACCAATAGTTTCTTGTTTGTCTGATGACTGGTAATAGAATTCTTAAAAGTTAACCATTTAAATTGATCGCTTTTAAAATGGTCACTGTGTACAATGAGTGTCCGGGTACCTCTGCCTCACTTTAGCCATCACCAGGAACCCACTGAGCTTGTTTTATCCATTTTCCAGTCTCAGAGTCTTTGTTTCTCTCCCAGATATAAATACATGTTTTTTTCAATGGGCTTTCTCCTGTCTGGTTTAAAAAGCATACGGTTTTTTGGTAACTTGAGACTAAGGTTTGGATAAAACAGCTCCAGATAATAAACTTAACCTGAAAGTTTGATTTATTCTTTCTTTCTTTTTTCTCTTTTTGTTTGGTTATTTGTTGAAATAAGGTCATTTTTTTGTTTCGTTTTTCTTTTTTTGGCAGTACTGAGGTTTAAACTCAAGGTCTCACACTTGCTAGGCAGGGGCTTTACCTATTAAGTCACACTATATCAGCCCCAGAGATAGGGTTTTGCCATGTTGCCCAGGCTAGCCTCAAACTCCTGCCAAAGTATCTCTACTTTTTTAACAAATATATTTCCAAGAACTAAAGAATGTTCTTTGGATCAACTTTGTTATATTTCCATTTATTTTCAGCTTAGTTTAGAGAGCAAATTAAGTCAGTTATTGTGATAACTTCCAGCATTGCTCTTTTGGCTCATGATTGCTTTGGCTCTTCAGGGTCTTTAATGATTCCATATGAATTTTAATATTGATTTTTCTATTTCTGTGGAGAATGTCATTGAGTTTTTGATGGGGAATGCATTGAATCTGTAGATTGCTTTTGGTAGTATAATCATTTTTACATTTCACAATGTCAGTTCTGCTGATACTTGAACACAGGAGGTATTTCCGTCACCTAGAGTCTTAAGTTTCTCTTTCTGTGTTTTATAGTTTTCATTGTAGAGAAGTTTTTCACCTACTTAGTTAACTCCTAAATTTGTTTTTTGTTTTTTCCCTGCCCTGAGGCTATTGTTTTCCTGATATCTTTCTCAGCCTGTTCATTATTCATGTATAGAAAAACTACTGATTTTTGTATATTGATTTTTCCTTTCCTATTTGTATCCTTTTTATTTCTTTCTTTTACCTTACTGCTTTGCCTAAGAATTGAAGCACTAGATTGAATAAAAGTTCAGAGTGGGCACCTTTGTTTCATTTCAGAGGAAATGGTTTCAGTTTTTCTCCATTTAATATGATGTTGGGTGTTGGTGTAAGGTCCATTCTGTTCTATTTCTAGTTTCTTCAAGGCTTTTTATTAAGAAAGGATGTTGAATTTTGTGAACGATCTTTTCTGTATCTATTAATAATCATGTGGTTTTTGTTCTTGACTCTACTTAGGAGCTATATTACTGATTTTTGTGTTTTATCATCCTTGTATCAAAGGAATTGAAACCAATTGATCATGATGTATGATCTTTTTAATGTGTCATTGAATTTGGTTTGCAGGTAATTAATTGAGAATTTTTGCATATATGTTCATCAAGAAAATTGGTCATCAGTTTCTTTTGTGTGTGTGTGTCCTTACCTGGTTTTGGTATCAGGGTAATACTGGCTTCAAAAGAATGAGTTTTATAGCATTCCTTCCCTTTCTATTTTATGGAATAGTTTGTTGTTAGTTCTTTAAAGGTCTGGTAGACATCAGCAGTGAATCCATGCTGTCCTGGGCTATTCTTTTTGGGAAACCACTAATCTCAGTGCTCATTTTAGATTTAAGTCATTTATATTCTTTTGTTTCAATTTGGAAAGTCCTATGCATCTAGTAATTTATCCATTTCTTCTAATTTTTCCAGTGTATTGGAATATAAGTCAAAATATTCTCTAATGATTCTCTGAATTTCACTGGAATTTGTTGTGATTTCCCCTTATTAGTTTGGGTCTTCTCCCTTTTTCTTTTGGTTAGTTTGGTGAGGGCTTTGTCAATCTTGTTTATCTTTTCAGAGAAACAACTCTATTTCATTGATTCTCTATATTATTCTTTTAGTCTACATTTTATTTCTTCCCTGATCCTTATTATTTCTTTCCATTTTTTACTTTCTTGTTTTTTCTGAGAGCTTGAGGTGCATCATTAGGTTACTTATTTTGAGAGCTCTTTGATTTTGTTAATGAAGGCATTCATAGCTATAAATTTACTCTTAGACTGCCTTGCCTCTTTCATTTTTATTTGATTCTAAAAATTTTCTAATTTCCCCCCTTATTCTATGACTCAATGATCATTTAAGATGTATTGTATAGTTTCCATGTACTTGTTCTCCAGCTGATGATTTCTAGTTTTATTCCATTGTGCTCTGATAAAAATACAGAAAATTATTTCAGTTTTCTTGTATTTGTTAGGATTTTCTTTGTGTCTTAAGTGTGGTCTGTTTTGGAGTAAATTCCATGGGGTATTCAGAAGGATGTGTAGTTTGTGGCTTTTGGGTTGAATGTTTTATAGATGTCTGCTACTGTATTTTCATTTTGAAGTGTCATTTATTTCTGATGTTTCTTTGTTGACTTTTTGTCACTCATCTAGTGGTGAGAAGTGAAGTCTCCCACTAATATTGTGTTGGGAGATTGTCTCTATGCTTTTTTTTTTCCTATAAGCTTATGTTTCTCTTTGCCAGTGAGGTGCATTTCTTATAGGCAAAAAATAGTTTCATTTTTAATATAAGCTGCCACTCTGGTTTATTTTTATTTTATTTTTTTTTTGGTGGTACTGGGGTCTGAACTCAGGGGCTTATATTGGTAGGTATTTACTCTCCCACTTGAGTCACTCTGCCAGCCCTATTTTGCATTTTGTATTTTTGAGAGAATCTCACTTTTTGCTTAGGCTGGCCTACTGGTGTCCAGCAAATCTGTGTCTTTTGGTTGGAGAATTGAGATCATTATCCTTCAGAGTTATTGAAAAGTATGCAGTAATTTCTGTCATTTTGTTTATTATAGTATTTGGTTTTGTTTTTCCTAATTCTCATTTGTTTATGTACTCATCTAATGAGATTGATTCTTCCCCATATTTTCATGTTGCATTTATCTTCCTCTCTGTGTATAAGATTCTTTTAAGTATCTTACGCAGTTTTGGGTTAGTGGTCATGTATCACTTTTCGTTTTGTTTTTCATGGACTGTTTTTATTTCTCCTTCAGTTATGAAGGATAGCTTTACTGGATATAGCAGTCAAGGTTGGTGGTTCTTTCAGGGTTTGGAATACATCATTCTATGCCCTCCTGACTTTTACAGTTTCTATTGAGAAATCTGTTATTTTGATGGGTTTACCTTTATGTAACTTGGTGCTTCTGTCTCACAACTTTCAATATTCTTTTCTTGTCATTTATATACTTAATGTTTCAACTATAATATGCCTGTGAGAGATTCCTTTTAGTCTTGTTTGTTTGGTGTCCTAAATGTCTCCTGTATCTGAATGATCATTTCCTTCTCAACACTTGGGAAGTTTTTATTTTATTGACTATGTTATCTGTGCCTGTAGCTTATCCCTCTTCTTCTACACTCAAGATAGATGTTCTGAGATCTTGTATGTTCCACTTTTACTTTATTATTTTCTCTTCATCTGAATTTTGTAATTCATTTACCTTATCTTCAAGCCCTGATACTCTATTTTCAATATCTTGCCTTCTATTAGCTACAGTTTCAACTGAGTTTTTTATTTGACTTACTGAGCTTTTCATTTTCAGAATTTCAATTTTATTTTTTCTTAATTTATCTTTCTTGAATTTGTCTTGAATTCATGTCTTGCATTGTCTTCCTTATTTCTTTCATTTAGTTGTTTATTTGTATGTTTTTGGAACTCATTCAGTATTTGCTAATGTCCTGATTTCATTGATTCTTCTTATTGTTCTGACGTGTGTGTGTGTGTAGGGGGGCGGTGCTGGGGACTTGTGGATGGTAGGCGAGTGCTCTACTACTGAGCTACATCCTCCAGCCCATTCTTTTGAATTCTTTATCTGAGATTTCATGCTCTTCACTATCATTCTAGTACTTTATTGTGGGATTGTTGACTATTAGATGAGTCATTTTGCCTTGTTTTTTCATGTTTCTTGTGCTTTTGTTTTAAAATTTGTGCAGTTGAAATCACATTTGGATGTTTTAATCACTAGTCTGTCAGTTGAAATATTCTTAATGTTCAAGCTGGACTGGTAGGGTTGATGCACAGTTTTTTTTTTTTTTCACTGCTGGACTGGAAAAGTGTAGCTCAGCAATATCAAAATCACAAACTCAAAAATCAATCCAAATATTTCAATGAAGTAAAAAGCAACTGAAACCACCACTTATACCACAATAAAGTTATATACAAAAGGAACTAGAATTCTAATAGAGTATGCTATGGGGATTGAAATTTATTATAGGTGTAGGAATTTAAAAGTATTAAGAAGAGGATGGGGAATTAAAAAAGATGATGGGAGTGAAGTATATGGGATAAAGGTATTCAAAATAACAGTGTGTGAAAATACAGTTTAATTATTGTGGAGAAAGACAATATAGTCAGGGAATGAAAAAAGGATAAATTAGTAGTAAAGAAAAGAAAAAGTACAAAAATGGAAAAATGAAAGTTAGTACTTCTCCCTTGTTGAGGAAGATTATGTATATTGTCTGGACTCAGTAAGTTCAGCAGGCGTTTTACTCCAGTCTCTGGCCCTCAGCGTTGCATCTGTGATTCTCCTAATGTGTTCACTCCCATTTGTCCTCTGGGCCCAGGATTGCCTGTGATTCCCCCCTCAGTGCAGCCCAAGTAGGGGAGTCAGTAGTCAAAGTTCTGGGCCAGAGACAGTGGCTGAAGGGGTGGGCCAGGTCCTGTGGAGTAGCAGCAATTCCACTGTGAAGGGCTGGCTGCTCTTGGAGTTGGTAGGCAGCTACCACCCACCCTAGCACTGTCTGTGCTGAAGCTTGCTATCTTCCACCTCACCTGCTAGACTAGTGTTTCATTTGCAGAATGGTGTGCAGGTAGCATTTGCCACATAAGGACACTGAGTGGTGAATACCGGCCCTTTGTCCTAGCCAGTGATTCTGGTGCCAATTGGTCCTGTCCAACCACAGCAAGGTTTGCAGTTTTCTGCCTGTCCCATTGAGCTAGTGTTTCATTTGCAGAGTGGTGTACCGCTAGCTACTGCCACACAGATACACTAGTGTAGTGGCCTAAGAATGGAGTGGATCAGTTCTAGCTCCTCAAGGTTACCCACTCTAGGGCTACTATGGACTGTTCCTGAGCAAGCAGTTTTCCTTTGTTTTGTTTGTTTGTTTGTTTTTAATAATTGGTACTAGGTATGAATTCAGGGCTCCACCACACTTGCTAGGACTTTATTTCTTTTATAGATCTAAAAGTTGGATATTTCTTGATTTTCTTTGCCAATATCTTTCAGTACATTACCCTATCTTCCTGCCTTTTTATTCTTTTCTTTCTCTCTTTTTTTTTTTTTTTTTCCTCCATACCAGGATTTGAACCTCATGTTTGGTAGGCATCTGCTGTACTGCTTGAGCCATACCCCCAGGACACTTTTAGGTTTTTTTTTAAGAGTAGGGTCTCAAACCCACAGTCTTTCTACCTCCTCCTCCTGCCTGGCTGGGATTACAGGCATGCACCACCATGCCCAATCTTCCCCTCCCTTTCTAGATTGCCTACTTTTCTTTTTAGCCACATTCGTGAGGTTTTATTTCAGACTTGTAAGGACACAGACATGTGCTGGGTATCTGTAATCCAGCATCTTGGAACTTTGCAGTAGCTTTTAAGTACTACAAGTAACAGTAAGATTTCTTAGTGTTGTTTCTACCTGTTGTATTCAAAGAGCCTAGTGGTTACTTACTTCTGTTAAGAAAAACGTCTCTTTAAAAATGGTATACAACATCTGTAATTAGACTGAATCTTTAATGGAAGTGTTTAATAACCAATGTGAAATAGAATCATTCCTATTAATAGCTTTAGTCAAGGAATATGTTGCATTGGATAACTTGGTAATTTTCCTTACTCTTGATTTGTTTCCTTTTGTGGTGCTAGAGATTTAACACTAGGTCTCAGCCCATGCTAATAGTGAGGAGGGGTTGGGTAATAGTGCTGATAAAATAGAGGCCCTGTTGTACTTTCCAGCCTCTGTTTGCAGTGTAACATCTTAGTTTAGCATGTGTAACCCAAACTTTAAAAAATGTATTTAACAAGTATCTGTTTAGTGCTGGTTTTCAATTTAAAGGTTATAAAAAGGTTGGACATTTAAGAGAAAAATTTCATGAATGATAATATTCAATATTATTTTGCTTTCCTAAAAGTTTATTTGACTCATTTCAACTAGTCTTATAAAACCAGAATATTTTAGGTGGCATACTGTAAAGATGGATAAAAAAATAGCAGAATGTTTAAAGAAGTGATGGAACTCACAAACTCAGTACTGCTCATATCAACATATATTAGTAGTATTCTAAAGTGGGCGCTCTACCACTTGAGCCACTCCACCAGTCCTTTAGTAGCACTCTAGTTTCAATTTACTTGGGATGTGTAATATGGGCAATGTCTTTGGTAACTAATTTTGTAGTTCTGTTCATTTACATGTTATCATCATGGAACTTGATTAGGCTTCCTCCCCCCCCCTCCCCGCCAATTTCTTTAGGTGCTTAAAGAACAGTACCTTGGCTACAGAAAAATGTTCTTGGGAGATGCTGTAGATGTGTTTGAAGCCAGGAGAGCAGAAGCTAAGAAGTGGCAGAACGCACCCAGAGTCACCACTGGACCAACCCCTTTCAGCACCATGCCAAATGCAGCAGCCGTTGCCATGGCTGCAACACTTACACAGCAGCAACAGCCTGCTACAGGTCTGAATGCATTCAAGTTATAGCTTCTTACTGTTCAAATGCAGAATATTTATGTGCATTTTTATTAAAAGTCTTCCTTTTGTGTGAGCACTGAAGAAATTTCTATGAGTAGCTGTTCCAGTACAATCTAAAAATTGTAATGGACATTATAAACATACCTGACAAAAAATGCAGGGTAGTCTTAGCAATAATTATACATCAGATATTGAATATTGTGAATTTACTTAATGTTTGCTGTATTGCTATAAATGCCCTTTAGAAAATGGTGTTTCACTACTGAATTACAGTTAACATTAGATTATAAAATTGTGATTGTATCATTTATTGTTTTAAAGTCAGAGATATCCATACATTGCATTTTTTCATATATGATACCGATAGATGGTGCATTCTCGTTTTCCTCGTACATGATTGCATAGTACCCATGTTGAGGATGTAGTTTGTTTTTATTGACTAAAATGTGCTGAAGATCAGTAGCTTTGTTTGTATGTACTTTGGTAACAATTCAGGCCCTCAACCAAATTTTGAAGAATATACATGCTAGCATGATTTATACCTTTTCAAAATGAACAGCTCACTAGCAAGATCAGGAAGAAGATGTTTTGAGATGTGAATTGCATACTGTGTGGGCAGATGAAAATAATTGGTGAGATACTTTCATCCTTTGTTTAGTTCCACTTCTATTTAGAGAAACTTGTTTTTGTGTGTGGTGTGGTTCTGCAGTGTATCATTTGGTCTTTTAGAAGTTAATTGTCTTCTTATTCTTAGAGTCCCTTTTATCAAGTTTGAAGTTTGACATAGGAAATACAGTCTTAATGAATATTGATTTTTTTCTATTGATCACTTGTAAGTTTTTGAGTGAGGCTTATTCTGTAGCATCGGTTTTTGTGAGAAGTCCATATAATTCAGTAGCAAATTACAACGCAAAAAAACCAAAAAAGACTTTTAAAACTATGAGTTTAGGTTTTATTCAGGCTGCCTATACTAGAGAAGCATTCTCTGGTCGCTCTTGGCAGTTTCCATCAATTGTTCTTCCTGTTTGGAGCATTGCTGTGCCGTCAGTGAAGGGTTGTTGGATTTACTCTATATCCTCCACATGTCGTGGCTGGACTCATGTGACCAGTGGCTCACATAAGGAATATCTAGAAGCTGGCTGTCTAGCTTTACTGGAATGTAGGATTACACTCTCATGCTTTTTTTTTTTTTTTCCCCCTGTGAATAACGCAGGACAGTTTACTGAGACAGAGGAGTAGCAAAGAGTAGAGCTCCCGGAGCTAGGAAAGATCCCGAGAAAGGAAAAAGTTGTTATAAAGTTGGTTGCTTTGAAGAATCAGTCTGATAACTATGATTGTCAGTTCTCCTCAAGCCAACTGTAGTCACAGTTACTCTTCATCCCAAAGCAGACCAGATAAGCATGGGGTTTTGGTTAGCTGTTTATTAAAATATAATTGATTTGTAATACTTGAGAAAAGTCAGTTGTTTAAACTGTTATACCATAAATGAAGATACTATGGTAAATAAACTTGATGCAAAGTCACTTGTCAGCTTTTAACTTTCTTATGTAGACTGTCTCATCTTGATAAGGTTGTAGGTTTTCACTCATACATTTTTTGCTAATGGACATGAAGTTGTATGTTCATTCTGTTAAACATAGTGCCGACCATGTGCTAGGTTTGGGGGATATGAAGGAGACTATAGGTGTGATCTGTGTTCTGTGTGGTTTTAGAGAATGTTTGTGTAATTTGGAATAGTCATCCTAAGGAGCCTTTTGTTTATATCTTTAATTTTGTTAGTGACTTTTGCCAGGAGAAATGTACTTTTTTAGTGTGCTTTCAAGTTTGAAGTCTGCATAAGGGCTTTCTAATCAGATGGCAGGAAATGAACATTATCAGCCTGAACAGTCTTACAATGTTTTCACTTTCAATTGTATGAAATTTTAAGACTGAGAAGTTAAACAGTGGTGATAACAATTTTGCATTATGCCTCTCTTTTGCATGTTGTTTCCCTAAAAGTCTCCCCGCCATAGTCCATCCCTTTTCATGCCTTCCCATTCAAAATGGTAGTTATTTTAGTCATTAGTCTTGTCACCATGTCTGTGAGGTTTATAAGCTCTGTTAGATGTGAGTATAGCCCTATTAGTAATCCCACTATGTATTGCATTTTGTTATGTATCCAGGGGGTTAATCCTTCAGCCCTATAACTTTCATGAAGTCTTTATGTGCCAATAACAAATGTTAAGCCATCTAGATGAAGCTAAGTAAGCTCGCACACTTTTTATTTTTCACTGTTCACCTGTATGAGATTTAAGCTATCAGTGTATTGGGGTTTATTTGTATAGAGATTCTTGATTCCATTAAGGTAAGTAGGAGCATAGAGTAATAGGTTTTCTTAGACTGTTGTCTTTTGAAGGATGCACTTCAATGGCATTGATCCTTTTGGTGGGGGTGGGGGTTGAATTGAAGGTTGAGCCCAAGACCTCATACATGCTAAGTACATACTCTACCACTGAAGTACACTCTGAGCCCCAATTCTTTCTTAGTGGGAGAAAATATTTACATATCTGCACGCGTGCGCACGCACACACACACACACACACATACACAATAGGGCTTAGGCATGTGTGATCTCTGGCTGTTTGTTTTGAAGGCTGAAGCAAGAACTGATGAAAGCCAGCTGTTTATATTGAGATAGGCATCCATACATAGGTAACATTCCATTAGCAGATTTTGCCTATGCTGTCTGCAAGTACTCCTCAAGCCTCCTGAAAAACTCAAGACATTTACATCAGGCTTCTCAGTATAATTTTTAATTAGGATAGCTAATTTGAAGTTGTGTACTAGGGTTAAATTTTGCTGTTGTGTTTTGACACGTTTAAAAGTTCCTGATGTTTACATAATAAGCTTTTTTCTTATGTGACTTAGCTGCTTTTTTTAAGGACAGAGCTGAGACATTTGTGAAGAATTCTTACTTTCTAGCATTAGTGAAGGCTTGGACATTTAAAGTATAGTGTTAAATAGGAAAATTTAAGTAGTTCAATTTTAGTTTCTTGTGGTTTTGTGATTTTGTTGTATTTAATAACCAAAGGAACATTCCTCCATTAAGTCAGTAAGAGTAAAATATTTCAGAACAGGGAAAAGGCATTTTTGTTTTTTTGAAGAAAAATTATTATTTTAAAAGATGTCTTAGGAATTAATCATATTAATTATGTTAGGCATTTTTAGTGATCATGGAAAATTATAAGAATTTTAGCACTTTAGTCCTTTTCCTGTGAATGCAGTTTTATATTTAAGAAAGTAGAATTTGTTCTGGCAAATATGAATGTCAGTGCTAAACCTGATTTTGTTGTGTGTGAATATATTATATGGTAACTTTGGTAAAATGTTACTCTACGTGAAAATTTCACTTTAAGCAATCATTGACATATCTTACTATTAGTTTTGATCTTATTTGTGGAACTAAGAGCCTTTCATTGAATGACTTTTGAGATTTCAAAGCAGACTTGGACTGTTTACATAACCTTTGCCTAAAGGATTTAGATTCTGCTTTCCAATAGTGAAACTAATACATATGGTGACCAGAGTATAATATATGCTAATACTTTGGCATGGAAGATATTTATCATGAGTTTTTACTATTTAAAAATGTTATACATTTGCCTACTAGTTTTTATAAATGATGTTGCCTTCAGAATTTGTGTGAAGGAACAAAACTCAAAATATGTATTTGTTGTGCAATGGAAAGTGTTGTCATTGTTGGATACAAGTTCTTGATATTCTTAACAAAATGATTAGAGAAACTGTTCTGTTGCTCCTAAAACCTGACCCACACACAACAAAAAGCATGCTGTTTGGGTAACACTCCACGACTTGTAAAGCTGAGGGCTGTGGTGTGCATTATTCTTTAGGGTCTTCCACCAGCAGTGCCTCCTTTTAACATGTGACACTGAGGTCTCAATGTAAAAGAAACTGGACGTGTGTTTTCTACGTGTTACTTTTGTTAGAAATAAGAAAATAATGCGCTTAGTTTCTTTTTGCCATAGTAACATTTTACAAAAGAGCTGCTAGGCAGGTGTTTATTCTGACATTAATCTCAAATTGATGTAAAACTTAAGTCCTTTTTTAATTTATTTTTTTAATCGTAGCATAAGAACCCTGGCTGCTCTTAGTTGCGGTTCTTTATTTTCTGGATAGAAGCTATTTGAAAAATCCAGTTTCTATCCCAGTGTAGCAAAGTATAGTTCCTCATTTTTTGTTGTTGTTTTTAATGCTTTATTTTACACTACCTTTTGAATATACAAACCTCATTCTTTATTGGACAACTTGAAGGCTTTGATTTCTTTAAAATTTAAATTTTAATATGTATATTACTTTGGCATTCACTCAACTTTGAGATGCACTGATCACTGTGCTTGAAAAAGACAAGACTGAAGATTGTACTATGAAATTTATTGAGTAATTTTCATAAGTTATTTATCAAATGAGAGATTTTTAGATTTTTGTATTCTGCTTAGTTTAAAAAAATAGTAGTTAAAAGAGGGGCTAGTAAGTTTGATGCTATTCTTGCCAAACAAACTCAGCCAAAATCTTTAAAGTAGCAGATGGGAAAGGGATGACAAATCGCTCTGTATCTAAGTACATTTTCCAGAATGTTGAAAAGGAGCTTCTGAAATGAAGTCTTGAATGTATTCGATCTGTCAAGGTGCACAGCAGTGCCTTTGTAAATGTTCATTATCTCATTTAATCAGGTTATGAGTGGTGTAATGTAGCAGAGCTTAAGACTAGAACTCAATTATCACTTCCTGTGAACAAGTTGGAATTGTCATGTTACTGTGTCATTGGTTTGCTTTTAAAATGAACAATAAATTTAATAAAATAAAACATTGTCTTGTTTTTTATCTATTATTGTATATATCATTTATATCATATAAGAGATGCCTAGTTTTTTGCGTACTTTTATGAAGTAACATGATAGTTTTACCATGTTAGTGTCAGTCTCTTGATTGATTGCGACTTGATAAGTAGCTTGTTTAAAAAAAAAAAAGTAAAAACTTTGACTAGTTACACCAACTAGTTTTACCAGAAAACAAATGGGGAGAGCTAAAATAATTCTAGATATAAATATAAAAGAATTATAAGATTTTAAATTACTTAGTAGATCAACATTTTTCATTGTGGTAAGCCTCTTTTAATTGTTTACTTCTAGGTAGGTTAATTAAAATTTCTTTTGGATAGATAAAATACTTGGGGCAGATAAGTTAGATCAGGAAGACATCTTGAAAACAAAAGTATTAACAAATGGAATTTGTTAAAAGTAATCACTGTTCAATTAAAATTTCATAAAGGAACTTTAATCTTGAAAGAGTAAGGAAAATTTGTTTTTTCCCCCCCATTTTTCTTTTCTTTCTTTCTTTTTTTTTTTTTTTTTTTTTTTTTTATACCAGGGCCACAGCCATCTCTGGGAGTTAGTTTTGGAACGCCATTCGGCTCAGGTATTGGCACTGGCTTGCAATCAAGTGGCTTAGGTTCTTCAAACCTTGGAGGTACACTTTAACTTTTCTAATATTGCATTGAACTATTATACATTTGAATTGATAGTAGCCTGTAAAATACTTTCCAAGAGGATCTGTTGCTATTTTGGAAGTTAAGCTTCCATCTGGCAAAACCGACTCTCTAAATGTAATCATTATAGTATTAGATTTATAACTTTAAAGAATCATTCCATCTTCTGTGAATAGTAAATACAAAAAGTACTAAAATATAAGTGGTAGGATTGTTCATAATTTCCAAACAATGTACTGAAATGTGAACTTGAGAATTACTTAGCTTTAATAAATTTAATTTTAATCAAACTTTTAAAATTTATTAGTCTTATTATTACTTTGGATTCCAGTCTACTTCTGAATGACATACATTTTCCTAATCACTGTCTTTTTTTCCCCTGAAAATGACCATTTTAAGTGGGGAATTAATTTTATAAATTAAATAGCTTGACTTCTGTCCATTTCTAAGCATTTTGGCATATTTGAATGTATTACACACTTATAAGCAATTGAGCTTATTTTAATAGCATCATAAATTAGGTAACTAGTAAGGTAAGTCTTACACAAATAATCATGATTCTTTGGTACAGATAATCAAACATTAATATTTCATCAAGCACATTGTAGTATGTTGAATAAATTCCTTTAATTTCCTCTAAAATATAAGGTGAGGCCTATAAGTTATTATGAAAATTTAATATAGAATCTGTCCTATATTAAGAATTAACTAGAATCATGACAAGCAGTATAATTCCTATGATCAGTTATCCAGCTTGCCATCATGTTTCTTAAAACTACAGGCAGTGATAATGGTCCATCTCAATATTTTAATAAGCTGTTGCAAGGTATCCTAAAAAGAATTTGACCTTTATTTATATAGAACACTATTTTCAATTGTGACAATAATGTAAAGAAGAAAAACATGCCCCACTCCCAAGCTGTCACTGTTAACCTTTATGGTTAACGTATGGTGGGGATTTACTCTTATGGTGTAGACTTAAAGCAATCAACTATTACATACTTAGGCAGAGTCTCTCGATGGCAAAGATTCTAAATTAACCAGAAATGTTTTGGTAAAAAGTAAAGTTATCCTGTGGTATTTGTGTTTACATTGTTGTGCATGGCATGCTTGTTTATGAACTTACTCATCCTCTTTTTTTTTTCAAATATTACCCCTCAAATAGATGTATTTGTAACTGTTTAGAATCATATTTGAGTGGTTGATAAAATTTCTAGCATATTTAAAAGAAAAGTACAGATAAGCTCTTGATTTTTTATGACCTTGATCTTTAAAAATAACTGATAGGTTGTAAGCTTAGTCTGAAAACGAGTGTTTTGTGTCAGAATTTATCTGTTTTTACTAAAAGCTTTAATACAAAGAAGTAACAGATTTCATTAGTAAGTCCGTGGTATTTGTTAGACCTTTGGTGATTTTCAGTTTTACTTGTGAGTATCCTTTAACCTGTGTTTTATGTACCATTGTATATTTTTCTATTACCCTTCTACCAGGATTTGGAACTAGCTCTGGTTTTGGATGCAGCACCACAGGGGCCTCCACATTTGGATTTGGAGCAACAAATAAACCCTCAGGAAGTCTTAGTGCAGGTTTGTGTGCTTCTGCCTGAATTCCAGGCAAATGTAAAGGTGCAAATAATTTAAAAAATATGAGTGTTGGCATTTCCAAAAACCCAAAAAGATCCCTGAATCATTTTCTACTCCCTGAATGAAATATGCAAGCCTAAGTAATTATATAGCTTTATCTTTCCAATAAACTAAAGGACAGTTGTGTAAAATGGTTCTAACAAGACTTCTTAGTTTGATTTAATTAAGTGATTACATCTTCTCTTAACTCTTAGTGGGATTCATTTGATCCCTAGTGACTTCATGATTAAGCAGTTTTATTATTATTATTATGAATGTTTACCCCAGCTTTTTTTTTTTTTTATTATCATTGTTTATCCAGGAGAACCATTCTTAATACAAAGAAATGTTCTTTGGTGATAAGTCTGTCTGATTTTAAACATACCAGGGCTTCATGCTTGCTATGCAGGCACTCTACCACTTGAGCCATTTCACCAGTCCTTTTTTGTGTTGGGTTTTTTCGAGAGGGTCTCGAATTATTTGCCTGAACTGACCTCAGACTTTGATTTTTCTGATCTCTGCCTCATTAGTAGCTACGACTACAGGTCTGAATCACCTGTGCCCTGCTTAATTTGATTCTTTGTTTCATTTTTGAAGTAGAAATAATCTGTTGACACTTCTAGTAGAAAATTTAAAATTTTGTCTACTTTCCCATTTACTCCATTTTTTGTAAATTATGGCATGTTTTAATACGCAATCATAGGGATAAATAGCATGTCTAAAATAATGAGGTAACACTTAAAGGTGTGTAAATTTAGAATTTGAAGGAAATTTTACTTACTATTAAGTAGTGCTTAAAATGAGCAGCTTCAGGAATAAGATAAGGAATTCATTGGCTTCGGGGCTATAAACCTAAAGATCATATTAGAGAAGGATTCAATCATAAGACTTGGTCTTCATTCTGTAAGGACTCATAACATCACAGCAGTAATAAGCAATGCTGCACATTGTGGGCTGAGGCTTTCCTGGATGATTTGGGATTGCAAAGGTGGATCCAGATGTCATGAAAGTCTATCTGCTACTTGATAAAATGTTCTTGGTGGGACTGAGATGGAAGATACCTTTACATAGTTAATGAACAGGAAAGTTTCTGGCAACTGGAAATTTCCTGTAGATTTCATTTTTTTGTGCTAAGGTTACTCTGAGGCTGCATCACTAAACTTCTGTCTTTCAGGGTGCGACTTAGTTGTTAAATTATTTTTCTGTGAAATCCATATTAGAAATTCAGGGGCCTAAGATACTTGGTATTGTAAATTATGTATTCTTTCAGGTAGAAATTTATTGTTTATTCCCATGTTGTATGTTGCTTTGTGTGTGTGTGATTTAACTTCTGATATGAATATTTTCTTCCCTAAATATAAGGCTTTGGCAGCTCAAGTACATCTGGGTTTAACTTCAGCAACCCTGGCATCACGGCATCAGCTGGTTTGACATTTGGGGTGTCCAATCCTGCCTCTGCAGGTTTTGGAACAGGAGGACAACTCCTTCAGTTGAAGAAACCTCCAGCTGGAAACAAAAGAGGAAAAAGATAAACATGGGTTGATGTCTTTGAGAGAATCCTTAGCAAGCACTGTTCATTCTATGAATCTATTTTTCTAACAATGCAGTAATTGAATTGCACCCCAGGAGATTTATAAAGTTTTGATATTTTTCCCTGCTCTGGGATTTGAACCTTGTTTGCCATACTGAACATCTTTCTTGTGAATTTAAAATCCAGTTGTGTTTTGGTTTTGTTTTTTTTGTTGTTGTTGTTGTTGTTTTTTCATTATTTTTGATCCTCCGTGTAAGAAATGTGATGACATTACTACAGTGGTTTAAAAAAAAAAAATTTAATCTAAAGCCTATTATTTAACCTAGTGTTAATGGCAGTGTTTTTGTTGATAAGGTTTACATTATGAGAATATATGCACATTGGTTTCTTACAAAGATGGTATGAACTCTTGGACCTATACTAGAATTACTTTGTTCATTGAAAAGGCCTTTTGAACTACACTGCAGGGCATCTTGTGAATATGTATGTAATTATATACAGAATAATACACACAATTGTGTATGCATATAAAAATATATATTTCCAGACCTACAACTTTTGCCTCAGACTGTTCTCCTTTTCTAAGGTATTCAATTTTTCACCTTTAAGTTTCAAATCCTGTGCTTGTAAAATGATCACCTAGAAGTACCCTGTCATTTCACTTGTTTGCAAGACTTATTAAATGGTTATTGATGTAAATATTTAAGCAACTCAACTTCAGTGTCCCCGGTCTTTTCCATTTTTGTTTCTATCTTAACCTTTAGCAGCTGCTCCAAATGAGGAATGCTGTGAGACTCATCAAATTTCAGCAACTTTTATTACCCTATATATTCTCACATTACTTCTTTGAGATCTTTTCTCCTAGCTGAGATGGACTTTCAGGAGTGTAGTTGAACTCCAGACTCATGTTCTGGGGGCAAAGAGCTATTAAGCCAAATTGAATCTATGCAGGTGAAGGGTGGTGCACCGTTACTTCAGTGAGAGCCTTTCTAACTGTTTCAATGCAGAGTTCCTTCCTATAGGGCTATTGGTTTTGACACCAAATGGAGTGGCTTCTAAGCCTACTAATGTCTTAAGTGAGTGCTTAATTTGGAATAGAGAAACAATGTATTTTAAGAAAAAAAAAACTACTCTTTTTAGCAACTATTAACTCTTCCCCAGTTTTAACAGTGAGCAGATCTCCAGGTCATAGCACACAGGCATGTCAGGTTGCATCTGTGATACTTGTCTCTGTTAGTATTAGTGATGTTTAGTGGGTAAACAGGAACCCTAGGAAAGAGAATTGCCTTAGCCATGAGTTAGAAAGAAACTGTTAGGTAGACCTATTTATCTTTCAAGTACAGTTTGCAGATGGGATGTAAACATGGAATTCCATTGAAAATAGTTTAATTTTTTATATAGAACGTTTTGTATATAATGTGCATCAGTGAATATTTTCAGAATCATTTTCACCAAGGCACCTTTTTTTCTAAAATAGGTATGGTGTATATAAACGTATACACACATATATTTTTAGTATAATGTTATTTGGGTTTAAAGTGTTGTCACATCTGTTTTATTTATCTGCATTTGGCAATAATTGGCTGTCTTGAATTTTTTTGCATCTTGATGCATTAAATAAGGAAAATTATTTATCTGTGAGCAGTTGCATATTTCTCTAGTACTGCAATCCCCAGATCCAGATCATGGGGAAGTTAAGAAAAAGATGTGATTTTTGCATTTTGAATTATAGTCAGTTATATACACAGTTACAACATTTTTTTTAAAAGGACATTGCATTGTGCTGCAAAAATACAAATATTTCTATTTCTTGATGTTTTTTCTTTATATGCATTTTCATATGTTGAACTACTAGAAATCTGTAACTGATTTAATTTGTGATAGGAGTTTGAGTGTGCTGTTGTTGTCTCCTTGTCCTCACTTTGTCCAGAGCCTATTATGGAAACAATAAAATTTATTGTGTCAGTTGCTGTGAATCTTTATAAGTGTCAATAGTTGTTCTTAATACTTGTAATTTTAATTGTTCTTTTATTCTCTTTAGTTTTTACTGTTTTCTGACACTAAAAGTAATTTTATACACCTTGCTCTTTTTTTAAACAAAAGACTGAATACAAGTTAGTAAGTTCTTTGTCAGTTAAATATCTTCTCAAAATTGCAAAATCATTAAACATTAAATATATTTATTATATATAAAAACACATACATTTATATGTAAGGACACTGAATAAAAAACAAAACACTCCTTCAACTCCTAAACTCTATGCCACACCCTCCCCAAAATGTCTGCTCTAATGATTTAGTGTGTACCTTTGCAGACCCTACTAAAAAATTCCCTTTTTCAACATGTGTGTATAAATGCTCATTCTCCTTTCCTCTTTTATATGCTCTGTCATTTTCCCATATTTTACTATTCTCACATGTTTCTTTTTCTTTAAACAAGCAGAGGTTAAAAAGCTATATTGTGTGGCTTATGGTTTTCCCCCTAATGGTATGTTAGTCCCCCTCCATGTCAGCGTATAGAGATTTACATTTGACACGCTGCCCCAAAGTGGACTTCGAGTTATCTATTCAGCTGTTCCCTGTTGGTGGACATTCAGTTTCTTCCCACTGTTTTAGTTTTGCAGAAGTTGTATCCTTGTTTTTTATGCTTATGTCTAATGTTTCTTTTGGATTGATTCTGGAAGAGGAATTGTGAAAAAGTATAAAAATTGTATATTTTAATGTTTGATTGCTTTCCAAAAATATGGTGCCTGTGTGTATGTGTACTCATTTCCTAGAATTCTTTGTAATTTTAGCTATTAGTTCTAATAAGTATATATGCATGAGTGCATGCATACATATATCCACATCTCAGTAGTTTCTGTTAATGGAATTGCATGTTACAACCTTTGTCTATTTTATACTGGTTACTTAGGGTTTTTTCTTACTGGTTTGTGGCTCTGTTAGTGGGTATTAATACTTTTCCTGTGAAATGTATGCAGTCAGCTGGTCTCAGAGCCTTGGCTCGTCATCCAAGGCAAGTTATTTAACCTTTTTAAAACTCAGCTTCCCCCTCTGAAAATGGACCTGAGATGCATGAGTGGCTGTGTCAGTCACACTGTCTACTGCAGGCAAGCACTATGCCAGTCAAGCCACGTCCTAGCCCACTTCTTTTTAAGAGTAGCTCAGTGATAGAGAATTAGCCTAGCATGTATGAGACCCTGGGTTTGATCCCCAGCACTGTAAGTAATCTAAACTTGAGCAGCATAAAGGGGGTTTAAAATAGAAAAGCAAGTAATACCCACTCTCCAAAGGTAGTTCTTGTTGAAGTTCTTAACGGGAAAATGCAACAGGTGTTTTCCTTTGTTCTTTTTAATACTGCATAGCAGATCTGGCCATACTGTTCAATAGTTTCTTTGGTGACTGTTTAGGTTCTTTTTATTAGAAACAGTTCTAATAATGAACTGATAAGGAGAGATGGTGGTCGTATTAGACCTTGATGATTCTGGGCAGGAATGTGGTCCTTTCCCCTTCCCAGGGTGATGCAAGCACTCAGTGTAGATTCCGAACTCATGAGGCCTTTTGAAATGATTATCAGTGGCCAGTGTTTCAGGTTGATGTTATTTCCAGATTTAGTAATGCCCTTTGTGTTCTTACAGATTCAGAAGGCAGAAAAGAAGTCTGTAGCCATGGAACACTTTTCCATTTCTTTCTGTAATTTTCCCCCCTATAGATAGGTGTGAAGACTTGATTCAAGGACGCCAACTCAGATAAGCAAGAGTGATAAATTCTTGTTAACTGACTACATTTCTGTAGGTACCACTTTAAAAACAGAAAAATGCTCTCCTAACGATCTTTTAGATTAAGCCCTTGTTAGATGTAATTATCCATTATATATATTTTGACATTTATGTTCAAAGGGATATCCCAATGGATGTCTACCGGTTCAACCTCTTCCATTACTCTCCCTTACCCTTTTACCTCCCACCCCCCCAGTTTTCAACAGCTTTCAATAATACACATCCTTATATCCTCTACCTTCACACACTAAGTTATGTGATATTACTGATGCTCTATCATTCTCTTTTCCTTTCTTTCCCAGAGTTCCACAGAGTAGTTCCACTGGTACAAACATGTTCTATGTCTGAGTTTGTATATGATCATGCTTGGTTTTTTGTGTATGTTTGTCTTTTGGATCTGTCTTTCATGTATGAGAAAAAACATGGGGCTTTTGTGTTTCTGATCCTGGCTTCACTTAACATTAAGTTCTCCAATTGCATCTATTTACCTTCAGACCACATGTCATTTTTTATGACTGAGTAATACTCCTTTGTGTATATAATCCCACAACTTCTTGATCCATTCATCAGTTGTAGGGTATCAGTTTTTTCCAAAGCTTGGGTATTGTGAATAGTGCTGCAACGAACATTGGTGTACAGATGTCTCTACTGTATCCTTTTTATGTTGTTTTGGAAAGATGCCCAGGAGCAGTATCACTAGATCATATGGCAGTTCTGTCTAGTTTTTTGAGGAATCTTCATGCTGCTTTCCATAGTGGTTGTACTAATTTGCATTCCCACCAGCAGTGTGTAAGGGTTCCTGTTTCGCCACATCCTTGCCAGCATTTGTTACTACCCCTGATTCTGGCCATTCTAAGTAGGGTGAGATGAAATCTAAGCATTGTTTTAATTTGCATCTCTTTTATAACCAGGGAAGTTGAACACTTCTTCATGTGTTTACTGGCCAGTACGTCTTCCTTTGAGAATTCCCTGTTTAATTCATGTGCCCATTTCTTCACTGGGGTGTTGATTCTTTGGGGGCTGAGTTTTCTGAGTTGCCTGTAGAGTATGGATAGTTGTCCCTTATTGGATGAGTAGCTGGCCAAGATTTCTCTCCCATTCTGTGGGCTGTCTCTTTGAGTCTGGTGACTATTTCCTTTGCTGTGCAGAAGCTCTTTAGTTTGATGCAGTCTCATTTGTTCATTGTTTCTCTTACATGCTGAGCCTTTTGAGTTCTACTTAGGAGGTCATTCCCTAAACCTATCTGTTCCAGTGTATTTCCTATGCTGGGATGGAGTTGTTTCAAAGTTTCAGGCCTTATATTAAGGTCTTTGATCCACTTTGAATTGATTTTGGCACAGGGTGAAAGACAGGGGTCTAGTTCAGTCTTCTACATGTGGATATCCAATTTTCCCAGCAGCATTTGTTGAAGAAACTCTTTTCTCCATCATGCGTTTTGGGCTCCTTTGTTGAAGATCAGTTGGCTATAGATGTGTGGGTTTATGTCTGGATCTTTTGTTCTGATCCATTTGTCATCTTGTCTGTTTTTGTGCCAATACCATGCTGTTTTTATTGTTATGGCTCTGTAGTATAGTTTGAAGTTGGGTATTGTGATGTCTCCAACATTGGACTTTTTGTTCAGAATTGCTTTGGCTATTCAAGGTCTTTTGTGTTTGCATATGTATTTCGCAATTGTTTTCTCCATTTCTTGCAAAATATCATTGGGATTTTTATAGGGATAGAGTTGAACATGTAGATTGCTTTTGGTGGTATGGCCATTTCACAAAGTTGATTCTACCAATCCACGAGCTTGGAAGGTCTTTCCATCTTCTGATGTCATCTTCAGTTTCTCTCTTCAGTGGTTTATAGTTTTCATTAAAAAGGCCTTTGGTTTCCTTTGTTAAGTGTATTCCAAGGTCCTTTATTGTTTGTGAGGCTTATTGTACATAGGATTGTTTCCCTGATTTCTTTCTCAATCTGTTTATTGTTGGTATATAGAAAAGCTTCTGATTTCTGTATATTAATTTTATATCATGCTACTTTGCCAAAGCAGTTTATGATTTCTAATAGTTTCTTGGTAGAGTTTTTGGGTTCTCTTAGGCAGGATCATATCATCTGGACTGGCCTTAGGTCTTGATCCTCTCAAATCTCAAACTACAAAAGCCTCCTCCCTGTTCTCTCCATTTTGAAAGGATCGTTCTTACTACTTTGCCCCTACTGATAAAAATACAGAATTTAACTTTCTTGATCTGCTAAGTTATGTTTTCTCCAGTTTCTTTGCTCTTTTTCTATTTTCCTTGTCTTTGTGGTTCAAGGCCACGTTTTGAAATTTTTAATATTCTCAGAAGTTCTACTGGGTTGTGTAAAAAATGTGCCTGGCTACTTTTTGATAAAGATGTATTCCTTACACTTTTTCTGTAATCGTATCTAATATGTTTTGTCATTGATAATTCCAGCATTTGAAGCAGTAGTCTGACTTTGTGGGTTTCTTTCTTTTTTTTCTGACATTTGCTCAGGGTGTCCCTTCATGAAAGTACTACCAACCCAGGTGTACATCAAAAAGATCTCACTCTGAGGAGTTTTTTGGCAACACTTGAAGTGTGAGTTTATTGCACAGCCCCTTCTGAGAGAGGAGTGAGTTTTGGGGCATAGTTGCTCTCTACTCGGAGAGCTACGGTCGCAATAGGCAGTGCTCGTGAGGCACTGTCTTTGGTGATGTGTTGACAAGGGGTTGACCCACTATGGCCAAAGGATAAGTACAGCCCACTGCCTGGCTTTGTAAATAAAGTTTTATTGGAATGCAGCCATGCTTACATGTTCTACATTCTGCACTACAGTGGTAGAGTTGAGAAGCTGGGACAGGGATCCTATGACTTGCAAAGCATAAGCCACTCACTATCTTCTAACTGTAGGAAAACTTTGTTGACTCCTAGTACAGACCTTTGGTATCCCTGCTTTATTTGTTGCTTTGATTTGTTCTGTTTAGTGTTACCAGGGTTTGAACTCAGGTCCTTGTGCTTGCTCAACAGGTGTGACACAGCTTGTGCCACATCCCCTGCCCGTTACTGCTTTAGTTATTTTTCAGGTGGTATCTCTAGTTTTTGTTCAGGCCAGCCTCAGTCCACAATCCTCCCACCCACAGCCTCATGTACAGTTGCATGTGCATCACTACTCCCTGCTTCTTGGTTGAAATGGGGGTCCCATTAACTTTTTTTGCCCCAACTGACCTGGAACTGTGATCCTCCCAATCTCCACCTCCCTGGGATAGCTGGGATTACAGACATGTAATGACTTAAATGA